GCACTGACATTGCTTAAAGTAAAGTTTTCCTTTGCACATGACATTTTTTTAAAAATTTTTTAAAAAATAAATTAAAGTTTGAAAAAAAAATTAATGCTGGACCATATTTGCGTTGTCTAATCTTAATCACCAACTCAACAGTGGACCCAATTAATATGTAGTTCATTAATAGGGAAGATACATGTTGTTTTTAACTATAATTGTTGAAATGGTATTTAACATCTATTGAATTTTAAAATTTTTGTGATTTTATATTTAAATTCGATTTTTTATTTATTATTAATTAATTTTATATTTGATATTTAATATGATATCATACTCGTATTTTGTTTTGTATAAATTATATTAAAATAATATATAAAATTAAAAAGTTAAAAATTACAAATTGATAAACCAAATCAAATCGAATCAATAAAATTTTATTCGATTTGATTCGATTCAGATTGAATGAATGTTTAGTTCAGATTCGGATCAAATTTTAAATTTTCATAATATTATGAAATATAAAAAAATTGAATCGAATCGAATTTAAATTGAACTGTTATCATCCCTGATAAGCTCTACTGAATTGGTTGTATAATAGCATCGCCTTCACATTATTCATGTAATAATTTTGCTTAAATTTGATGAGATTTGTTAAAATAATATTATTTTATAATTAAATATTAAATAATTTATAATTTTATATTCAAATTCTATTCCTTCACTTATTATCAATTAATTTTAAATTAAATCTTTAATGATAAAATAAGTAAATTTAATATCAATCCTAAGCAAATGGATCACATCAAGATTTTAAGAAATTTATATAAATTTAACCTCTCATATGATGATACGTGATTTCTTAGCTAACTTTGATTTGATCAAATAGTGGGGACAACGATTGCACTTGCCTAGGAAGCTTCAAAAATTTTGACTTAATCATTTGATAAATATATCCAAATAAAAGGTCAATAGGTACAATGTTGTTGTATCCATTTCACCAAAAAATGACAACTCTAAAAGAGAGTTCTCACTTTATTCATGGCAAGCAGAAAATTTTGAAAAAAAAAAAATTTATTATATCTTGAATATGTTATTATGAAAAATATTATTTTTCACGTAAATTTTGAAATCATAAATCATCCGGTCTTTAGGTTAAGACATGATATTTCAATTGTATTTATAAAAATAAAGCATTTAAGATTAACACTAATGAGGAATCACTAATAAAAATCGAATATCTTTAAAAATGAAAAAAAAAAATCTTCTAAATGCCTTTAAAATTTTTCTCTTGACCTATTTTCATCAATAAAATTGATAAATTCACAAGTAATTATATATATATATATATTATACGTAGACACCTTTGAAAAAAGATTATGAATATGCTACTAGCAATATGCTGCCAAATAAGACTACAAATTCTTAATTTATAATGAATTCACCGTGTGAATGTGGAAGCCAATGTGATATATAGGGAAAGGGGAAATCTCAATTTTGTAGAAATCCACCATTTAAATCTTTATTTTTGGTTTGAGATTTTTCGATGTTTAGTAATCATTTTAAATTTTGATTAATTTAAAATTAAATTAAATCAAATCTTATAAAAAGTGAAATTTTTTTAATATTTTTTTTTCATTTACAAAATTTAAAATCAAAATTTTATTTAAAAAAAATTGAACTCTTTAACCACTCAAATTAACAAACGTTGATACCATTTAAAGCCTTACGTGATGTACAATCACCATGCTTGATTGTATAATCATAGCTGAAATATAATAATAATAATAATAATAATAATAATAATAATAATAAAAGAAACAAGAAGAGCCAGATTTACTCCTACAACCAACATGGTAAATCTTGCAGCAGAAGCACAGCATTACAGATATTTTTTGCTTTGTAGACAAGGATCTGTGAATTTGATGTACAACTCATAATTGCAATATATGAATATACCCAACGCCAAATAAATTATGAATCTGAAACTTGTAAAGTGGAAGTAACTTTTACTTCATAGCTACTTTTCAGTTACAAAGTAAATCAATCTTTTTAGATACTTTAAAATTTTATTTATCAAATTCGAAATTTAATTTAATTAATTTATATAATTATATTTAAAAAATAATATAATTCAACACGGTTAAAATTTAAATTAAAAAAATATCCAATCTACCTAAAAGAACTCAAGCTGACAATTACACAATGTTAAAGTTTTCAATAGATGTGCTTTTCAAACCAGATATGATATGGTTTAGCAGTACTTTGGTTAGGGTTTCAAATTAATCATCATGAAAATGTTTGAACGATTAAGATCAGAATTTTTATAGTAATCATTGCAAAGGTTGGGAAAGTCTAATTGAGTACTCAAGTTCCAAATATAATGACATGTTAGTTTGAACAGAAGATTGTACATTTCTCAGCAGTTACCAGATTACCTCAGTTAATTAGTTGATAAAATGAACAGGTGAATATCATGAAACTTGACTAAAATACTCTTAGTTTTGCAATAATCAGTGAAATGAAAATTTTAGGTAAAAGGATTAAAAAAGTTTTTAAACTAAAATTTAATAATCATTCAAAATTTTATTATTTTTTAATCAATTAAAATTTCAAATATTTATTTTTATTAATTGAGTTATTATTAGAGAAAAAATAGTTAATTGTTTCTGTTCAATCCGAAATTTAATTGAATGAAAAAATATGTATAATGATTCAATTAGATAAAAATAAATATTTAAGAATTTAATTGATTTAAAATAAAAATTTTAAGATTTGATTGATTGTAATAAAATATTAGTGATTTAATTGATTTTTTAATTTTTATTTGAGAATTTTTTAACTCTTATATCAACAATTTATGAAATAAAATTAGGGATGGTAATAGATTGGATTAGGATAAATTTTTTTTTATTCCGAATCCGATCCGATATTATATAAAAATATATTTGATTCGATCTGAAATTAATAAAATATTATTTTTAATATATATATAAAATTAAAATTAAATAAATAATTAAAAATTATATATATCATATTAGATCAAATTAAATTTATTTAAAATTTAATCTCGACTTGATCTTGATATTTTTTTTATTATTACTTAACCAACTTAATATCTGATTTTTTTAAAAAGATAACCTTAAAAAATTAAGTAAAATCAAAACTCATCAGTATGGGTTTGATTGTCTTCCTTAAATAAAATATGCTGTTCTCAATTATTTCAAATTCTTCCAGGGTTGAATAAAGCCAAATTTATGAGAAATAATTGAACTTTGTAATAAAACGTACTTACAAATTCAATGGGAGCTGAGTTAATGCCATAATGCCGACAAATATTTTAGCATTCTGAATCCCAAATCGAAAAAAAAAAATTGTACTAGGACGTGACTTTTTGCCCCCAACATGTTTTTTTTTAATGCTCCCAAAAGAAACTTGTTTCTGTTTGGCTGATGGGAAAATGACTATTCAAAAGATACGGTTTGTCCCAATACTTTTGCTTTGGCTTCATGCCCTCAAACCATATATCTTAAGCAATGTCAATTTCAAAATCACCGACAATTTTTTTGCATGCATTTGTAATCTTCTGTGGGGAAAAAAAAAATCCAATCAAGAGAAAGCCAAGTTCTACTTGATCACTTCCTAGGAGTGAAAAATTTTTTTTTTTAAATTATAATATTTAGATAGATTTGAATTGATTATTTATTTATTTAATTAAAATTAAATTCGAATATTAAATTCGAATGAAATTTTGAATCAAAATATAAAAAATAAAAAATAAATTAAATTATATATTTTTTAAATTTTTATAAAATAAGATAATTATTTTATATAAAATTTTATTTAAATATATTAAAATTTTTATTAAAATAATATAAAAAATTTAAATTTAAATTGGTAAATTTTGGTTGGATTGAATGATTTTAAGAAAAAATAATTTAAATTTGGATTGAATTTAAAAAATTTATAATATTATATATTATAAAAAAAACAAATCAAACTAATAAAATTCAATTAAGATGAATTAATTTCAAGAAAATTTAATTTAAATTTAGATTAAATTTTAAAAATTTATAATATTATACATTATAAAAAAAATCAAATCAAATCTAATTCAATTCAAATCATTATCATCTTACACTTCCTTTTGATTTGTGAGTGAAACTCAATTGGTTTGTAACAAACTTAAGCCTAAGTTGCCATGATTGCTTATTACATTAAAAGCTATCAAGTAAAAACATTATGGATCTTAAGGCATGAGTCATGAGTTTTGATATCTTGCTTAAGAATTTATTTAGTAGCGTGATGGGAATAATTCTTATCAAGATATCGTTTTATAATTAAACTAATAATTATGATTATCAAGTCGTGATATTATTTTATAATTAAATTCATTTATGGTATGATGAGAATATATTTTTTATAATATTAAAATATTATTTTGTATATTGATCATAAGTATATTTTTATATGATTGCACGTTTTTATTTAATAATTAATAAATAATTAAATTCATAAAAAATTATGAATTTAATTATCCCTTTATTAGAAGTCATTGGTAGGACATGACCCATAATTTAAAGCCCATTTTTATAACGAGACCCATATATTAGAAGCCTATTTCTTAGACGTGGCCCATAAATCAAACCCAAGATTATGGGCTTCAAGCCGATTGTTAAGAATTGGAGAATAGGGACAGAACAGTCATTTTAACCCAAATGAAGCCCGTCTTTATTTCTTACTGCATCTACGAACCAATGTAATCTCACCACGCGTTCACTTCCTATTGGTCCATTTGCTCCCTATATAACCACCATTTCATAACGGTATTTTCTGCCCCAACTGTCCCGCTGGACACAGGAACAGAAAGAAAACGAGAAAATACGAGAAAGTGAAAGAAAGTAAATAACACAAATATATATATATATATATAATAACTCCAAAAAGAGAAAATAAAAGCAAAGAATTTTAGAAGCATTAAACAGATAAAAGAAAGAAAGAGAGAAAGATAGTCAGAAATGGCCGTGGAGGCAGTGGCTGCAGCAGGAGAAGTAGAGGCACAGAAGAAGAACAGAATTCAAGTGTCTAACACCGAAAAACCTTTGTTTTTCTATGTTAATCTTGCCAAAGTATGGGTTTTTTTTTTTTTTTTTTTTTTTATCTGGGTTTTTGTTTTTATTTGATATGTTTCATGCAAAATGATGTTTTAGACTGATCTTTGCTTTGCTTCTTTCGTTCTGTTTTTTTTTTTTTTTTGGATTTGGGACTACTTTATGAATTTAACTGATTGCACATTTAGAACATTTCCATTATTCCAAGCAATTAAATGTGGAGTTTTATGTCATTAGCAATTGCTCATTGCTGTTGGACTAAATCATGATTTCAAGGTGGTTCAAGACGTGTCTTATCCTTTCTAGATGATATAACAATCATAAAATTTGATCACAAGTCAACTAAATTTTCTTAATTTGCAAATTTGCAAATCTCAATCTATATGCATGATCACGTTCGAGCCTATGCTACATGTTTTCATTTTGTTTTCTTTTGATGCAGAGATACATTCAGCAGCATAATGAGGTTGAGCTTTCTGCCTTGGGCATGGGTACATTTCTATGAAGCCATCTTTCATATTGTTTGTTGCTGTGAACTGTGAACATTGAACCCTATTATCTCAGTTTTTGTTTTTTTTTGGTACAAAAGAGGCTGTAGCCTGAGAATAGGAGAAAGGATTGCTGGTGTTTGTATTTGAACTTCAGACCCATTGAAAACCACCTCTTAAGAATGGTTATACGAACCAATTTGAGCTAAATTCCGGGTTGAGTTCTTAACGTCTTGTGCCTTTTCGAAAGAAACCAAAAATTACAATGATGAGCATAAGGTGCATATTCTTTTTCTTTTAAGTTTTGGTGCTTTTGACCTGTTTGGATGCTTCACTGGCCATATGGTAGTTTACCTATTAATTTTTATCGGCTATGAAACTATTCTCTGCCATAATGCTTCCTGAAATTTGTCTCAAACTTTTATTGCAGCAATAACCACAGTTGTGACAATTGCTGAGATCTTGAAGAATAATGGATTGGCTATTGAGAAGACTAAGAATCTCCATCTCTTAATCCGAAAAAGTTTTCCATCCTTGATGAGTGTAAATAATGAGATACCTATTGTTTATGGAACTGTCCGAAAAGTTTGACTTGCTGATAAATGCTGATGCCAATATGTCACCAGAGACTGCTTCCAAAGACAAGGAATGACAAGAGAGTGAAGCAATATTGATGTTCATTGTTGTAGTAACCACTTTTTCCGTGATTGGTCTGATTGATTTACTGAAGCCTAATTCTTACAATTGACTGTTTGATAATGATAAAGCTACATATTATCTGTAAAAAATATACATTTTGGTTCTGTCCTACCTTGGTAATCAGGATTCAACATAGAGTGTTCCCACGGTTCCAAGCTTCGAAAGCTTTCATTGTATTTGTGTCTCAATATTGTATTCTGTCACTGTCACATTTTGAAAGTGGAATGCCAACAGGATTCTAACAAAGCAATGTGATGCTCTTGTTTTCTGCCATTGCCATGAATGGTTTTAATTGAATTTATGCGGCCTAGGAATGCTCAAGAAATCAAGTCAAGCAATTTCATGACACCAAGAAAACAAGAAGAACAACAACATCATATGGCTTGTTAAACCGGGCCTGGATTTTGTCCACAATTTTCTGATATGCTTGTCACAGCGAATTTGGTGAGGTGAATCCAGTATTCATCATTACATGGTATGAAAATAATGGGTAAATTTGAATTGAGATGGGGATGCATTCTAAGTTTTTCAGTCAAATTCCATTTGTCATTTTATTTCCTGATGCATAAAATGTTAAAATTAGCAACTAAAGCTTTCCTATTTACAATTCCCAAAGGCACTTGACCTTATTGAGGTTCCAATGTAAGGTACTGATTGAAATCTGTGATTCTGATTATTTGGCTTATACCAAAGTGAACTGAGCACATGTTTGGGGTGCAGAAAAGCAATATTCATGATTTACTACACCCTGAATTCTGTAGTCCTGGTCAGATTCTTCTGTCTGGAATGATCATTTAGGTTATGAGTATTCCAAATCTGAAACCTGTAGGGTATCCCTAAATTTAATTGCCATTGTTGTGAATTCCAACACCAAGTAAGAAGGAAGAGATGTATTGAACCACTTTTCTATGCAAATTATTTACCTCTTCGGCTCCATCTTATGGGTTTGTTTTGGAGTATACTGAGGCTGCAACATGTCATTTAACTTCATGGCAATTGATTAATGCACATTCAATCTCCCATATGAAAGATTTCATTGTCATTTTTTATGCTCAGAAGTCTGGAGTGTAAGAGCCATGAGTTTCCACCTGCATTTATGCTTCGAATTTTCAGCAGATTATAACTTGTTGGAAATAGTTAGATGGCCTTTGGTTATTGACATCAAAATTGCAGCCTTTGGTTAATATGAACTCCAGGCATTTTTATGGTATTGCAAACTTAATTAAAAGAAAAAAAAAGACAAAAAATATATAATAGAAAATGCAATAAGCTTAAGAAGTATTGGTTGTTTTTGAACTCATTTCCCTCATACTAGCTGCTCTTTAATTAACAATACAAAAAAAAGAAAAAGATACGATTTAAATTGATAAAATCGTATATAAATCTGAAAAAAAAACAAAAAATATATTTTTTATTTGGAATTTCAATACATATTGTTATATAATAATTTTTATATTTTACACACATGTAGCAAATAAGACAGTATTCATGAATTGACAAAAATTTTAAAAAATAAAAGAAAAAAATTCCTGCTTGTCGAAGACAAAACAAGAAAAAGCCCACAAAATTTAAGACCCTTAAGAAAAGCCCAGCTCAACTATAAGAAACCGAAGGCCAATTATAGGGTTGTTTAGGAACGAAAGTGCAAAGTCAACTTTCTCTAATGCCCCCAACATAAAAAAACCCGCCCCAATTCCTCCAATCAAGATATTTTCACAAATTTTCTGGTCTCGTTTCTCTCTTCCAAAACCCCTTCAAAACGGAACCACATTTCGTACCCAAATTTCTTTTTTTTTTTTTCGAAAACGCATCTTCCATATTCTCTCTTCATCTGATGTAAGTCTCCAAATTCAATGAATATCTATGCTTTTAGGGTTTGGAGGGTGATTCATCTCATGCACCTACAGCTGTGGGAACCAAGGTTTCAACGAGGCTGCTAGTCCCAGCCTCACAAGCTGGAAGTTTGATAGGAAAACAAGGAACAACTGTCAAATCCATTCAAGAATCTTCTAATTGTATTGTTAGAGTTCTTGGAGCAGGTTCTTTTTTCAGGATTCTATTTCTCACATTTTTTTTGCTCTTCTTTTATTGTTGAAAATTTGTCATTTTTACATGTAGTAGTTATTTAATCGCTGGTGTTGCTGAAAGATTAAAGTTTTAATGATCGATCTACATGAACTATTTTCTGGTGTTTATCTTAGTAGTTTTTAATGTTGCTCATTGTCTGTAAATGTGTGTTTCATGAAGTTTTGGCCTGTGGGTGAATAATGTTACCGATTATCTCAAATCAAATTATAATGTTGAGAATATGACTGTCTTGATTTCTACCCAATTTCAAGAATATGGTTTTTAGTGCCATTGCTGATTTCGAAGTTGTTTAGGTGTGGCATTTATTTGTTTGATCACAATTATAATTTCGTTCAAAGGATTTCCATTTGTAATTTTTTGTGCTTTTGTTTGGTTGCTTTATCATGATATGTTGACATTTCTTTTTTCTTTCTCTTTGTTAAATAAAACGAAATGCTGCAGAAGACCTACCAGTCTTTTCTCTTCAAGATGATAGGGTTGTTGAAGTTGTAGGAGAAGCAGCTGGTGTGCACAAAGCAGTGGAGTTAATTGCATCTCATCTCAGGAAGTTTTTAGTGGACCGCAGTATAATTCCATTATTTGAAATGCATGTGAGGCTTCCATTTTTTGTTTACCTTCCAATTAATTGTGCCTCTATTAGTGTATAGAATATAATGAAATTCTGTTACATGTATTACCAGATGCAAATGTCTAATCATCAGATGGACCACATGCCATCTCATCAATCCTGGGGTCCACCTCAAGGTGTCCCTCCAAATGCTAGTGGAGGTGCTGGTTTTGGATCCAATCAGTATATGCTGCCTCCACGGCAACTTGACAATTACTACCCACCTGCTGATATGCCTCCTATGGAGAAACAGCCGCACCAGGGTATTTCTGCCTATGGAAGAGAAGCCCCAATGGGTGCCCATGCATCATCAAATCCCCAGACTGCACCATCAATGATTACTCAGGTAATTTATACTCCTCCTTACCTGGTGGCCTCTATTTCCCCATTTTCCCCTCCTAGTTTTCCACGTCACTTGAGAAGAAGGGGCTGTGGAGCTTGATACTCTGTTACTGTTTATGTGATTCCTTGTTATTGATTTGAGTTGTTTAAGTCTCGGGGAGGGCTTGCTGAATTGTAGTATTAGAGTTCCTTGTAGTGTAAGTTGTCCTGGCTTGTCTTGAAAGGGGGTGGATGGGGAGGTTTTAGCAAACCTCTCATGCTCTTGCATTGTAGAGATCCATGCATGCATCCTCATGCATCGATCTACCCATTTGTTTTTCTGCTGTTGGTCAATTTTTGGTTATGAGTTCAGAGATTGTTGGACTCTAATTTAAATTTCAGGCTCCTAGCAGCAAGGTCTTTCCAGTCCTGTAAGGGGTTAAGTCGATGAATGGTCTTGGCCTACTCAAACGAACTAGATCCTAATATGTTAATAAAGTTTTCTGTGTCTTTTCTTTTTAGGTCACTCAGCAAATGCAAATTCCACTATCTTATGCTGATGCTGTTATTGGGACAGCTGGTGCAAGTATTAGCTATATTCGACGTGCTAGTGGGGCAACTGTCACCATACAAGAAACTAGGGGTGTTCCTGGGGAAATGACAGTCGAAATAAGTGGAACTGCTTCACAAGTTCAAACTGCTCAACAACTGATACAGGCCATTTTCTTTGCCCCGGCTTCTGAACCTTTTTGATCTTTCTTTTCTATTTGCTAGATATTGAAAACAGTTTCAATGTGTTTTTTCATGGCTTATGCTTCTGGTTTCCTTGTAATGTGTTTCCACCTGCCAGGAGATTTAGTCAGTGTCTTTGTAGTCAAACTTTACAGAGCTGCTAGTGGTTACCATGGTTCTGATCATTTTTTTCTTGTCCTAGCTAGAAAGCATGCATTTTATAACACAGATGTTAAACTATGCTTATTCTGATGTTTTTGCCCAGTTGCAGTAGGATAAAGGAAGTCATGTATGGTTCTGATGCATGATCATGAAGGGCTGCATAAGATAAAGAGTTCTAAGATGATTTTGAAAGTAAAAAAAATGAGAGTGCCCCTGTAATGATGATTTTGAAACCTTTTTTCCATATAGATTGAATAATTCTGTAATAATGCTAGTATTATATATCATGCTAATGTTTTCACTAGATCCTCTTCTGATTTTGTTTGGGCTCCATGAGCTCTATAACTCTTTCTCACTACATGCAACGGTGTTGTATATAATGTCGTCAGAATATTGCTCCCTTGGGGTCTTACGCATATGCAATTTATCAAGTAGCAAACTATATCTACTGTTTATTGTTATCAATTGTTTTTTGTACTCTGTTGCTCTTGGGTTAAATACTGATGTTACTTATATTGCCTTGCAGAATTTTATGGCTGAAGCTGCAGCTGCAGCTGCAGCTGCAACTCAGGCACCAGGTGGGGGTTCTGACCAAGCTTATAATCCTTACGCGGCTCATGGTTCTTCTGTATATGCATCGCCACCATCCAATCCAGGACATGCAGGCCATACTGGAGGCTATGGCTCTGTTTATGGTTCAAACTACGGGTACTAATCAGGATTGTTTGATTGTGATGTCAACTATGAGATCATAAAATCATAGATGGTTAAATTTCCGAATTGGTTTAATTATGGACTGCTTTAGTTGCTTGATGGTCATGAGTTAGAACAAACTAAACATATTAGATTTGTGATATGCATTAGGCTAATCATAGGGTTGAGCCAGTACAATATTTTTGAAGTTTTTTAATCTCATCTCCAACTTTCCTATCTCGGGCTTTCCAATTCAACTTTTTTTTATTTGTTTTGACTTCATTTAGACACTGATTTCCCAGCATGGCTGCCTATGGTCCGCCATTGCTTTGAAGCTCGAGGCACCAACGATGTTCCCATGGAGAATAAACCATATATTAAGTTCATCAGTTACTGCTTAAACTAGCATAATTATGTTGATCCCAGGTAGTGGTTCATGTTGATCAACAATTCAACATAATCAGTTTCGCTAAAACTAGCATCTTCAAAGCATTCAAACGCCATTTGCAGATCATCTTACACCACTCGGACACAAAGCTATACTGATTCTTCTCACCGTCTGTTGTCTAGCTGAACCTAAGAACCAAACTGGCTCGGTTATTTTCTGCATGGAAGTTGGCAAATCCAACACCGACAGTAAAAATCTATGTGAAAGGTGTTGGGGGGCTCTGTAAGAATTGGAGTTTGTAACAACCTGCCTTGACTGCTTCCTAGAAGCTCAGTCACTCTTTATGTTTCAATTTTTTAACTCACTTTGGATTATGATCTTCAAATTCCAATCGTTTGATTCTTTGATTTAAACCGTTTTAAATTACACATCCATTGGCAGATAACAAGTAGAATTAAAATTTGTACCAGTATTTAAAATAGTAAGACCGAGTTGTTTAACATACTGCATGATACATTTGTTTCACATTTGTGACAATTTTTTTTAAGAAGAATTTATATGTGACAAATTAAATCACAAGAAGTAGATTTAATAATTTTAAATATAATACAAAAATCATACAAAAATAATACTGATTAAAATTTAATAAAAATTATTATGAGTTTGAAAAAAATTTAAAAATATATTTTATATTTAAAATGCATAATTTAGATTTGTTTTGTTTTGGGATTTGATATAGAAAGTAAAGTACATAATACATTAGTGTAGTGCCCTTGGATTTCTAAAATGAAAAAAAAGGCCAAAACAGTAATTCCAAAATAAAAAAGAGAAGTTTATTTACACTCTTATTTCTTTTCTTCACGATCTACAGCTATTAACGTCTGTTTATTTTCCTCTTCACACCCTATGTTAAAATATTAATTTATTAAAAAACTCGAACACCTCACACCCTTTCTTTTCTTTTTCACCGAAAACACAATCTTTTAAGGAGTAAATCTCAAATCAAGCCCTAATCATTGATGTTAGCTAGATAAGGATCATAAGTAAATCGTTTTTTTTTTTTTTTTTCATTTGATTTTATAGTTAGTTTCAAAAGATTTACTATTTTAAGTTTAAAGGTGTTATTTGAGGCAGTGATTCAAGCATTCCAAAATAAATTTTCAAAAATTATTGAAGGTTTTGAAAATAAGTGTTCGAAAATTTTTTTAACGTATTAAAAATTTATTTTAAAAATATCTCAAAAGCTTTTGAATATTTATTTTTAAAAATTTTTGAGAATTTTCGGAAGCATACTTTTAGAATTTTTAAATGATTTTCGGACATTCATTTTTGAAAATTTTCAAAATTTTTAAAAATAAATTTTTGATACGAAATAACCTTTGGCTATTAATAAAGTCCAAATAACTTTTTAATACATAAGAATTAACATCATTATGTCATTAGCAAACTAACAAATTTGCTAATAAAAATATTTAATCTTTCAATCACTAAACACTTTCTATTTAATAACATTTGTAACATTTTACAATTATAACTTATATGCATTTGAGAAAAATCGTTAATTGTAAAGAGATGCTCTTATAAATTATAAATTAATTGCGTATCATGTAATGGAGTGTGATTATCTTATAGCACATGATGCAATAATTAATTATACAAATACTTTCACAATTAACAATTTCTTTCAAATATGCGTTTATTAGAATATGTTTCAAGTGTGCATATTCAAAAGATTAAAAATTTTTATTATTGGGTTTAAAAATCATATATATCAAAAAAATTATTATAAATCCATTTAAAATTTGTAATAAGAAACATCTGATATTTTTGTAATAGATATTAATCAAAAGATGACAATAAAAAATTTAAAGTAAAAAATTACTTCTAAAAATATATTTTTGAATAATTATAATGCTTTTTGAAAATAAATTCTTAGTATAGTTAAGAAATTTTTAAAAATAAATTTTTGATACATTAAATAAGTTTTCAAAAATTTATTTCTTAATAAATTATTAAAATAAATGTAAAAAACAAAAAAATAAATAATTAATGAATATTTAAATAATTTTTTGATTAATTTTTTGATATATATAGAGATTTTTTTTTTGGGTATAAATAGTCTCACTCAAAAAAAAAAAAATCCCAAAGTCCAACCTACCCCTCTCTTAACCACCCAAAATCCCATCTTTCTCTTTTGTCATATCCTTCACCACTCTCCCTCTTCTACCCCCGTAATTCACCAAACTTCTCTTGCCCTTCCCCAGCCCCTTTCTCATTAATTTTCCGGGAATAAACCCCCCATTACCCTTAACAATTTACCCGCCAAAACAAATAAATTCCCGACTTTTCAAATTTTCCTACTCTTCATTTTCTTGCAAACTCCAAACTCAATTCGGCTACCGACGAAACCCTACTTTCCTCCTGAATTCTGGGGGGTTTTCTCGCTTGAACGCTTTGTTTATTGTGTTTTTGGGCAATATCCATGCCGTTTCTTGGCTTTTTGAAGCTTTCTCAATTGTGTTTTTGGTCATTTGGGTTTTGAGCTAGGTTTCAAGTTCTTTTTTTTTAATCCAGGTATTTTGACCTTCATTTTTGGAGTTTTTTTATTGGTTTTTTGGTTTTTGGATGTTTTCAATTGTTGGGTATTCTTTATTTTTGCCAAATTTGATGAATTGATTTAGTTAGTTTTGTCAAAGTGTTTTAAAGTTATTGATTTTGAAGATTTTTGAGCAAGCTGCTTAAAGCTTTTTTTTTTTTTCCTTTGCGGGTTTCTGTTTAGGATTTTTTTTAGTGATTTTTAAGGTGTTTTGATTGATGGGTATTTCTTGTTTGGTGTTAAATTTGGTATCTTTCTTAGTTAGTTTAGTTTAAGTTTCAGGGTGTTAAACTTAATATTTTTTATGAGTTTCAAGTAGTAGCTGCTTAAAGATTTTTTCTTTGATGCGTTTTCCCCATATTTTTGAAGGATGTATGAAATGAGAACTTATATTTGGTTACTTGGAAACTGAGGGAGAAGGGAAGTGAAATATTAGCTTTTTGTCGGGATTTATTGGAAGTTGAACTTCTGTTTGGTTAAGAAATACTTGCACAAAGTTTTTTAGGTTTGCTTGTTTGGTATCTTATATAGAAGTCTAATTGGTGTTACGTTTATGTGTTTGTTTTGTTATTATTTTCCTTAATATTTGGCTTTTCTTGCTGTTCCTTATGTATATTGTTTTGTTTCCTATGTTGGTTGATGTAGCTGAAGTTGTCGAAACTAAATGTTTTCTTTAGCGACATGGATGTTTCCTGCTTGGCTTCATTGTTCACCATTAAAGAAGTGAAAGGTTAGCTGCTTAGAGGGATTATTCCAGTATTTTATGTGCTTTTTTTTTGGTTGGTATAAGTTATTTCTTTGATTATTGAGATGAAATTGTTGATAAAACAAAACTGACCTTTTGGTTAACATCTGCAAATTTTGCAAACTAAGGCTTGGTGGATGCATTTCTTCATGCATTCTCACCTTTTGTTAGTCACTTGTCAGAGATTAGCCTGCTTGTTATGATTTCCATGTTCATATGGTCATCCCCTTTTCTTCTTATTGTAATGACAGTATTTCATTTGGCAGGTATGCATTGACATAGATGGAAAATCTGTCTCCCTGACTTTGGGTTGTGTTCTGCAGGCTGAGTTAGTTGTGTTGTTCCTGTACTGTGATTGATTTATTCAATGGCTAACCATGATCTGATTCTTGGACAAAGCCACAATTTAGCATTGGGGAAGAATCAGCCACTGTTGCTTGATCATAATCATAATTTGGGCCTCACCCAGAACCATGATTTGGAATTAGGACAAGCACATGAACGTCATTTAGGCTTGCGGCAGGCCCATGATCATGACCTAGGTTTAGGGTATTCTCATGACCATGAATTGGATTTAGGACAGAGCCACGATCAAGAAGGGGAAGTTGGTCACAGTTATGGGCATGATAATGAGTTAGCTACTGATCAAAAACCTGACCTGGGTGACCATGAGTTGGCTTTATCAGAGAATAATGAATTGGCTGTTTCAGAAAACCAAGAGCTTGATGATAATCTGGAATTGGCTGTGGATGACAACCAGGAGATGGGAATTGATCCTGCCCAAGATTTGCAGCACTCCCTGACTGTAGTTAGTCTCCCTCCTGTCCTTCAGATTCGGAATTCAAATCCAAGTTATGATTTGTCAGTTGGGCAAGAGTTCCCTGATGTCATAAGCTGCCGCAGGGCATTGAGGGATGCAGCTATTGCCCTTCATTTTGAAATGCAAACCATAAAATCTGACAAGACTCGTTTCACTGCCAAATGTGCGAGTGAGGGATGTCCCTGGCGTATTCACGCTGCAAAGCTCCCTGGCGTTCCAACATTCACAATCAGAACTATCCATGAGACTCATACATGTGGAGGGATTTCTCATCTTGGCCATCAACAAGCCTCTGTGCAGTGGGTGGCAAACACTGTGGAGCAGCGGTTAAGGGAGAACCCTAACTACAAGCCAAAGGAGATATTAGAAGAGATTCACCGGGCTCACGGAATCACCTTATCTTACAAGCAAGCATGGCGTGGCAAGGAGCGTATTATGGCTGCTATGCGTGGGTCTTTTGAGGAAGGGTATCGCTTACTCCCTCAGTATTGTGAACAGGTTAAGCGGAAAAATCCGGGGAGTATTGCATCTGTCTATGGAAACCCGACAGACAACTGTTTCCAGCGTCTTTTCATATCATTTCAGGCCTCGATTTATGGTTTTCTGAATGCTTGTCGACCACTCCTTGGGTTAGATAGGACATTTTTGAAAAGTAAGTATCTTGGAATTTTGCTTCTTGCTACCGGTTTTGATGGTGATGGTGCTTTGTTTCCTCTAGCATTTGGTATTGTTGATGAGGAAAATGATGACAACTGGATGTGGTTTCTCTCTGAACTCCATAACCTGCTTGAAATTAATACAGAAAACATGCCAAGGCTTACAATTTTGTCTGACAGACAGAAGGGCGTTGTAGATGGTGTTGAAGCAAATTTTCCTACTGCTTTTCATGGATTTTGCATGCGTCACTTGAGTGAAAGTTTTCGAAAGGAATTCAATAATAATATGCTTGTCAACCTTCTATGGGAAGCTGCTCATGCCCTGACTGTAATTGAATTTGAAGCAAAGATTCTTGAGATTGAAGAGGTATCACAAGATGCTGCATTTTGGATCCGACGAATCCCACCTCGGTTATGGGCAACAGCTTATTTTGAAGGCACACGGTTTGGTCATCTAACAGCAAACATAATTGAATCACTGAATTCTTGGATTTCAGAAGCTTCAGGGCTACCAATAATTCAGATGATGGAATGCATTAGGAGGCAGCTTATGACTTGGTTCAATGAACGGCGAGAGACAAGTATGCAATGGACATCAATACTTGTGCCTTCTGCTGAAAGATGTGTTGCAGAGGCCCTTGAACGTGCACGCACATATCAGGTGCTTCGTGCTAATGAAGCTGAATTTGAAGTTATTTCTCATGAAGGGACAAATATTGTGGACATTCGCAATCGCTGTTGCCTTTGTCGTGGCTGGCAGTTGTATGGTTTGCCCTGTGCACATGCTGTGGCAGCACTTCTTTCATGCAGGCAGAATGTTCATCGGTTTACGGAGAGCTGCTTCACTGTAGCAACATATCGGAAGACCTATTCTCAAACCATTCATCCGATTCCAGATAAGAGTCTATGGAAAGAGATGTCTGAGGGGGATCCAAATGCCAGCAAATCTACTGAAGTTATCATCTATCCACAGGATCCAAATGCCAACAAATCTAATGAAGTTATCATCTATCCACGGGATCCAAATGCCAGCAAAGCTACTGAAGTTATCATCTACCCACCAAAATCACTTAAGCCACCTGGTCGACCACGAAAGAAGCGAGTTCGAGCAGAAGATGGTGGCCGTGTGAAGCGGGTTGTGCATTGTAGCCGTTGCAATCAGACAGGTCATTTTAGAACAACATGTGCAGCACCAATTTAAGTTCTAATTTTGTGGAAAGTTGATTTGCTGCTATAGAACCTGGGTATGTCCCATATCCCATCTGTGCAAAAGGATTCTTGCTTTCTTTTTTGTTGTTCATGTAGTAATTATTAGGTATTAGATTTGCACGCAAATGCTTTGTTCAATTTCTGTCATTTATGTGAATTATGCCCTGCATCAGCTATCCACTGTCCTATATGAATGTACCCTTCAATAATATTACATATAATTATTTAAGATTTCTCTCATGATTGTAGCTCTTAAGACTATTTTTCTCTAAATCCCATTTGCTTATGTATGTTATCTCTTCTTGTTGACAGTCCCAAACATATTCTTTTCTGAGCCAAAATTACATTTTCTATATAACAAGCATGCTTGAACTGACTCGAAAAAGAGATGTTCTGATGAAGCCAAAGAAACCCTTATCGTTCAAAAATAAAAAGAAAAAAGAAAATGGGTTTCTTACCAATTATGCCATTTCATGGGGGAATATTTATGAATTATTAGAGTATAAAAAATGGCGGCGAGCTTTGGAATAATGTTAAGGTTGTTCTTTTTGTGATCGGAAAATTAGGAGTTTGAGTTTTGAAAGTAGCTTTTATGCAAAAAAAATGCAGAAAAAAAGTTGCGTATTATGGATTTTCATCCAAATCCTCGCCAAGCGGAGAGCCTTGTGTCCCGGGATTTGCCCTTATTGAGTATAAAAAACGTTGCAAAAATCACAGGACATAGACTAATTCAACTTTGGTTGGTATTCAGAAGACCCGTGTATTTGATTTAGACTCTCTTTATTCAAACTTCAAGTCTTCAACCGCGGCTTCCCAGAGTCAAATGTATATCAATTTCACCCATTAACAAACCTTACATGCATACATATATATATAGATATAAATCTATCAACTCTTAACACAAAATATTTCATATAAAGAAAAAAAAAAAAAACTCTATCAAAGTCTTCAAACCCAAAACATGGCTTTTCCTGAAGTTACTAAGTTTACTGTTACATTCATTTTTGGTATTCTTTTGCTGCTTAGCTTTCAAGATGTTTTGGCCACCAGGCCTCTTGATGAAGATCAAGTAGTGCCATCATTCAACAAAAATCTTATAGTTCAAGCACTTGAAAAAGGTCCGGTGCCACCATCAGCTGGAAATCCATGCAACAATATACCCGGTGGCAGTCATGGCCGGTGCACGGCTGAAATGAATGACGTAGGTGGCAGTGTTGCTAATCATGCACCACCGGCGTTTCCTGACTTTGTTCTGAAATTTGCTGCAGCATCCGCTGGTAGTAACTAGTAATGAAACTGATCAAAAACAACATTTCAATAGCTTGATTTCTATTGGAATGTATTTTATATATATATAAGAAAAAATGTATTGGTTGTGAAACCAAAGAAAACAACTCATTAATTGAAATTGTTTAATTCTTTTTCCTTTTTATGCTGAGTAAAAAAAATTATTTAATACATTGTCGGTTAAATTTTTAAATTCATCAATTAGATTAATTAATTGTGACATACTTTACTATGATATATTTTAAAAAATAATATATTAATAAAAATTTTTTTATTAAGTGATTCATGCCACACTTAATTCCAGTATAATTAGTTTGATTGACCTAATCAACATCAACACCAACCTAATATTTTGTCAATACTCAAAGTTTCTTTTTACAGCAAATCATATCTGAAAGTTATAAAAACCAAAATTTACTTCCATATATAAATTCTTGTCAAAGACTCAACAATAGAAAATCTTTACAAATTTTCTTGTATGTTTCTTTAGTTGAGAAATCCTCAATAATTAATTGAAGATGCAATTATTTCCATCATAAATCTCCTTTTTCCTTTTTTTTTTTTTAATTTCATAAGTATTTGTTTAAGTAGGATTTACAAATAATACTCACTATTAAAGAAGATTTAATGTAAAGAAAACCAAAGAACGAGAATGAATTTATCCCAAAGCTTTTAGTCTAGTGGTTAAAGTCATTTAAGGGGACATAAGGCCTCCTCCCTTTTCTTTACTTGTATTAAGATTTTGTCATCTTGATATAAAAAAAGAATTCGGCATTTTGATTTTTATTAAAAATAAAAATAAATTCTCAATCTTTTATTTTATAATTATAAAATTAAAATCTTACCGTTACAATTATATTCGAACAATTTTTTAAGAATTTGTATTTTTTAAAATTATTAAGAATTAAATTTAAATAAAATATAAAAATATCTCAAATGATATAAAAACCAATTAACTTTAATTTCACCCTTCTCATTAAAAAAAAACGCAAATATGTGCTCTCAACTCTCCAATTGTAAATGTTTTGCAAGAAATTTGAAGAGGAGATTTATTTTCTTGTTCATCTTATATTTATCTTTTAAGCATGGAAGTGTGCCTGTCCCAAGGGGGTATCAGAACAAAATGTGGGTCATAAAAACTCACAAGCAATCACATGGTGAGAGGACAGAGCAAGAAAAGCAAAGCACCATATGCAATTACAAAAAAATTTTCATAGGCAAGGAAAATAGGAAATGACATGACATGGAAATGGGAAAGTTTGATGGTGTGGCTGTGGGACATTACACAGCCAAAGAACAGCAACATGTGAAGGTTGTCATAAAAAACAAAGGAATATGTTTGTAAAGAGAGATAGACAGTAATTTAAAATTTAATTTAATTAATTTATGTAATTAATTTAAATAATAATTTTTAATAAATTTAAATTAAAAAAAGATCATCAATACTTAGAGGTGTTCATTCAATCAATTTGATTAATTTCGAATTAAATTATTTAAAATTAAATTAATTAAATTAAATTATTTTATTTTTATTAATTGAATCGAATTTTTTAATTTTAAAAATTAATGAACTAAAATTTGATTTATTCAATTAATTTTTTGATTAATCGAATAATAAAATATATTAAATTAAAATTTATTTTTAAAATTTTATTTTCTCATATATAAAATAAATGAAATAAATTCATCCAACAAAAATATTTAAATACTAAAATATTAAGTTAAAAATTTTAATAACTTGAAATGAAATTGATAAATTAATATATTTTAATATTATATATAAAATTTATAATATTTCAATTAAAATTTTGATTAATTCAAAATTTGAACAAAATTAATTAAAAATTTATTTTAATAATTGATCAAAATTAATTTAATGATTAATTAATTAAGCAAATTAAATCAATTTAATCAATTAATTCAAATTAAAACTGAAATTATAAATACCCTACAACGCCAGCTGCCAGCATCAACATAGAGGTAATAAAAGCAATGAAAAACAAAGGGCCAAAAGTAAAAGACAGGATTGGAATTTGAGAGTACACAAATCAATGAGACACCCTAACCACCCACCATGTTAGGGCAGCTGGGAGCATCACCTATCTTCTATGGATTTGATTTCCACTGTTCTGTTGACCCCACATTTCCATTTTTTTTATAGTTGACAAAAGAATTCGAATCTTTCAAAGGCCCCCCTCCCAAAAAGGCCAAGACACACCCACCCACAAACAAAGGGGAGTTACGTTTTTTAAAGTTAGATACACCCATGGTTCAGTGATTTGGTGACCCACAGCCTAACAGGTTTGAAAGCTAAGGTCACCACAGAAAATTCTACAGTACAATGGTGGTTCGATGATAAGATTGGGGGGGTCACTTTGACCCTTATTATGGACATAATGGTACTATTTTGGCCAGTTGGAAATCGACTGGACATCACTAGCAGATTGACACGTGAACCTTCGTGTCCCAATTTGCATTGCTCTGATTTCAAGTTACAAGATGAAATTAACAGGGCCAACAAGATATATATCTAAAATCTTTTGTGTTACTCAAATTATGAATCTCTCCTCCATGTGTTAGATGTGTACGGAACTTGTACATTTAATAGATAGTAACTCTATAGGAGTATAGGGTTATTTAAGCTATGGAGAGATTGATTTAATTGATTGAGCTTGTTTTGTTTAATTATGAAATGTTTAGATTTGAATTTCTTAATGCTTTTTTTATTTGTGTTGATATGAATGTAATCAATGAACTTTTTTATTACATTTTATTTGATTATGTAGGGATGGTTCACTAAAATGGATGAATATATCTTACTTCACTAATAATTACATGTAGTAATTATATTCTTGTTTGAACCAAGAAAAAGAAATTGTCATAAGTAGTTAATGTGTGTTGGTTTTTTAATTAAATCCATGAATACAATTGATGTTTTTTTTGTTAGAGCAAGCACTAAAAATTTAAAATTTTTATTTTTGATAAGCTTTAAATTTTGAAAAAATGCATCAAGATATGTAACGGTATCACTTTGATTTTATTTGCCCTCATCGTATTATTAACGTAATAGATATACAAAAAAATTACAGACAATAAACCTTAAAGGTATAATGAAATTAAGTAATTGTCTGTGTTTTGCACTTATAAAATTAATTCACCAAATAATTATCGACATGTCATAAGATCATTGAATTTTTATAAAAGGTTTTTTGCAATAAAATTTTTATAGAATAAATTTGGAGTTTGAAAAAAAAAATTTTCAAGAATTGTTTTTTACATGTTTTCAAAAAATCAAAGTAGCTTTTTATAAATAGATAAGTATTCTTTTCTACATATATCTATTTTGAATGGATAAAAGTAATCTGTTTTTTGAATAGTTGAAACTATTTATTTTAAATAAACTTATCTCTTTGTTTTAAATAGACTTAACTATTTATCTTTATTTTTTTTTCAATGTTAATTATCTTTTATATTTTATTTTAAAAATCTCTAACATTTCCCACTTCCATGATATTCGACACGATGAGAAATAAAAAGAAAATGAATATGTTAAATTAAATTAAATATGAGATAAATCTTATTCATGTAAAATTATATGATATGTCATATATATATATAAATAGATCAATATAAAAGAATAACTATTTGAAAAATCTCATATGTGATTGATCGAAATTATTTTAAGTTTTTAAATATTTGAATATGTGATTTTATTTGGATCAATAAATTAAATTAGTGTTGAAGTTCAACCCTTAATGAGTTGACTAAAAAAAGAAAAAAAAATTTAAATGCTCTAAAGTTGAGATCTAAGCCCAACCCCATTTGATTGTAAAAGTGTCCTTTTCATTCGATTGGCGCCATAAAAAAATTAAAAAAAAAAAACAAAACTCAAGTAGAAGAGTTTAACAATGCAATTTTAGCCCTCATTCAATGTGTGTGTATAAACCAATGAATCTTAATGAAATAGTAACTCTTGCTTGCTTGTCGATGTAATGTGTTCATTTAATTTATTTTGATAATTTAACAAGTCCATATTAATTATTTTATTTTTTATAAGAAGATTATAATTGATTTAAATGTTAAATCCATTGAAAATTAATTAAGTTAAATCATGAGTTTTATTTTATTTTATTAATTTTGATTAATGTATAAATTTTCATGTAAAACAATTAATTTGATTAAATTTATTGGTCAAAGTAAATTTTAAATTCGAGTAAATAATAAATAATTAAGAAATTATCATTAACGTTTATTGGTTTATGTCGTTAAAAAGTTTGATTTTTTTAAAGTAAATTTTCAATTTTAACTCTTGTAAATAAAAAAGATAGATGGTAAAAGAATTTATTTTTTTTTATGAAATTTAATTTGATTCAATTTTAGATTAATTTAAATTTAAAATAATTATTAAAATTTATCTCTTTTATGAAATTTGATTTAATTTAATTTTAAATTAATTAAAATTTAAAGTGATTACTAAAACTGAAGGTCTTAGAAAAAAAAAAAAATTTCCATGATTCAATTATGACTTGAAACTATCCCATCTAGGAGTGCACACTCAGGGTAGTGAGGAAGACGCAAGTGGTGGTGCAGAGAAGTGAGATACATGGAATCTCCTTACGAGTTCCAAGTTGATAAAAAAACGGAATTTGGAGTTTGGACCGAGTGGTCTAAGACCAACCGACAGTGTCATGTCCAAATGTAAGGCAATGGAATAAAACCAGCCTCAAATTTACGGTTCCTTTCCCTGCTCTACTATGTCACTCTCAACCCTTTGTATCAGGCATCACATGACCCTCTCTCTCAATTCTCTCGTGACAGAGAGAGAGAGCAAGCGACAAAAAGAACCCAAAAAGGCAAACCCTTTTCTTACTAAATAGAGGGAGAGAAAGGGCCAAGTGAGAAGCTCTCACCCTTCACTTTCTCCCTTCGGTCTTTGTTTTCTCTCGTTATTGTGTCATTGTAAACTAAGGAAACCAAAAAAAAAAAAAAAGGAAAACCGAGGAAGAAAGTGAAAAAACATAGAAAAAAGCAAATTAAAAGGGTATCTTTCCATTTCTCTCTCTCTTCAGTGATTCTACTCTTTCAGCTTGTTGTGTTTTCGAGTGAGATAGCTTTTGCATACAAAAGGTGAAACAGAAAGAGAGAGAAGACAAAATATTTAATTACAAAGTTTTTTATTTTCTTGAGAGTGTGTGTGTGGATATAAAGAAAGAAAATGCAGCAGCACCTGATGCAGATGCAGCCCATGATGGCAGCTTATTATCCCAACAACGTCACTACTGATCATATTCAACAGGTCCTGCCCTCCCTTCCCCTCCTCTCCCCTTACCTTTCTCTTCTCTTTCTGTTCTCTTTTCTGTTTCTTGATCAGTATGTATGTCATAGAGTATTATTATTTTCTCAAGAGTTATACTTTCTGTTTTCTATTTTTTTTTATTAATGGAAGCTTTATTCTTCTTTTTGTTTCTTGTCAAAGCTACTATCTTCCTCCTTTTGTTTTAATGACTGTTGGTAATTGTTTATATATATTTGGTTTTCATGTTGCTAGGAAGAAGTTTAATGGCAAATAGGTTATTTATGGTTTTGATGTTTTTCATTTTGAAATTGGTAGGCCTCTGGTAAATTGGTTTTGGGTATTTGTCAATTGAGATTCACCAATTATCTTTTCATGGGTTTGGTTTTGGGACTTTGTCTTCAATTTCCAGTTACTAGGGTTCATTTTTGTCTTATTCTTTAATTTTTTTAGATGTTTCTTTTTGGTAAAGCCAGTGATTAGTGATGGTAAAATTCGGTTCAGTGAATGAAGATTTGGTTCGAATTTTAAATTTTCATAATATTGTATAATATCTGAAAAAGCCAACTGAATCCATTTGAACCGAACTGTTATCACATCACTGATTACTGAGTAGCCACTTAGCATCATGTGATGCTTCATCATTTTTAACTCTGTTAAGCCCTTTCTCTTTTTGTTCTTTCCTGAGTTTTAATTGGATGGCATTATTGGTGTGGCTTATTGCAATCTGCCATAAAAGAATGAGTTTCTTTTTTTTTTTTTTCCATGATTTCTTTACATAAAGAATGAAAAGTAGTAACTTGTAAGCTTGGTATTTTTTACCTACTTACCTCCTTGTAATAGATTGATTTGCCTCTGCAAGAAGATGCTACTGAAAAAAGTGTTTACTGTATCTTCTTTCCATTATATTGTTGCATGTTTCTTAATTTGTTCAATGACTTCATTTTGATGCATGCAGTATCTGGATGAGAACAAGTCATTGATCTTAAAGATTGTTGAGAGCCAGAATTCAGGGAAATTGAGTGAATGTGCTGAGTAAGTGCTAATTTTCAGTCCCTAATATGTATCATATTTGGCTTTTGGATATTTTTTGTTCTCTTGGCTTTGAATATCTGATGATCAAGGACTTGTTCTAACGTATGACTGCATCACTAATTTGTTTTGTTCTCTTGGCTTCGATTGTTGCAGGAACCAAGCAAGGCTGCAGAGAAACCTCATGTTCCTGGCTGCAATTGCAGATTCTCAACCCCAACCACCCGCTGCGCATGCCCAGGTACAAATTCCATTCCTAGATCCCTCCCCCAGCCTTTTTTGTTTGGATTTAAGAGACCATAACTTCTTAAACTTAGAATCTCTATCGTAACCTCCCCCCCTGGCCAATCAGCAACTGAAGTTGGCTCAGGTGGCTGGAAACTTTTAAATTAGTTGATAATAAGGCCATTCAGGGGTATTATGCAGTAGATTTCCTGATTATCTTTGTCAATTTCTTGTAGTTTCTTTCCAGTGGTGTTATGCAGGCAGGAGGACACTACATGCAGCACCAACAAGCTCAACAGATGACGCCACAATCACTTATGGCTGCACGATCCTCCATGTTGTATGCTCAGCAACCATTTTCAGGCCTGCAACAACAACAACAAGCTTTGCACAGTCAGCTTGGCATGAGTTCTGGTGGAAGCACAGCCCTTCACATGCTGCAAAGTGAGGCTAGCACTGCAGGTGGCAGTGGAGCACTTGGGGCAGGAGGGTTTCCTGATTTTGGACGTGGCTCTTCTGGAGAAGGTATGCATGGTGGCAGGGCAATGGCAGGTGGAAGCAAGCAAGATATTGGGAGTGCTGGGTCAGCTGAAGTTCGTGGAGGGAGCTCTGGCGGTCAGGGTGGTGATGGGGGTGAAACCCTTTACTTAAAAGCATCTGATGATGGGAATTAAGAGGTTAGAATGGTGGATCTGATGGCCTGTTCTACCATCTGGATTTAGGATAGTTAGGATGATCAATTTAGGGAGAAATAGGCGAAAAGTGGCCAAAACTTGTGGCTCAAGGAACGTGTTCCTTGTTCAAAAAACAATGTTATGACTCAGCCTCAGCCCATTTGGCTTTCTGTTTCAGTGTGGGACAGTGCATCTTATGGTAATTTAACATGTAAATTTGTAGGGTCTCATGGTTCTACTTGTCTTAATTTGTGTTTTACTTTAATGTGGTAAGGTTCAGTTTCATTATGACTCAGTTTAGACCATGTTTCAGCAGATGAATTTTGATGGTAATTTGCAGAGATTGGGAAAGAAAATTGTCACTGTTTGCTTTCTTTTTTCAGCCAACTGTAATGATTTTTTAATTGCATTTGCATTGATGTATGAAGATATTTAGGTATCATTCAAAGAGAAGATCACAATACTTTGTACAGGTTTTCATGTTTAGCATCATAATAGTCATTTGGCTTTGTTTTCGTCTGTCAAATTTTCATATTTACATATATATATATATATATATATTCACTGTAACTCTAGCTTACTGCATAAATTATGGTTATAACAACAATTTATACTAAAAAATATTTAAAATATTGTTTATTTAGCTGTCTAATTACCATGCATTAGCTTTTTATTAAATTAATGATTTATTTGAATAAACAATAAAATTGATTTCGGTGATATCGATGTAATTTTTAAAATTTTTAACAAATCTCATACCAAAGCTTGAACTTCTATGTTAGTATTAATAAAAAATCAAATAAATAATTTATTATGCTTTCATTTTTATGGCAATAGCCTATAAATCATCACATGATTAATTATTAATCAATTAATATTAGCATTTTTTAATTAAAAAAATGTACATTCTTACTTGTAATAAATTAAAATCATCGTAAACAATTAATTGTTTTTGGCAGTTTCATATATAAAAAATATAAAATAAAATCACCAAAATTTTAAAAGTTCCTTTTTAAAGCAAACATTACATGATGAGAATGTACATGATGAAAACTCATTGATCCAATGGACATGGTTAGTAGTCACGAAGACTTGGTTAGTAGCCACGAATTGGCGCGAAAACAGAGGAAAAAACCGAACTTAACGGTCCTCTTGAGGAATGTTAGTCTCTCAATAACCCAACGTTCACTTCCATACAACACAAATAACTTACCAATCTTTTCTCTCTTCTTTTTCTCTTTTCCATTTTTCTCTCTCTCATCAGTTTCCCAGAAGTTTGCTTCCATTGCATTGCATTTTCTTTTCAAGAAAGTGGGCTGTTGGTTCCTTGGTTTATGTTTGGATTCCCAGCTTTCTTGCAATCATATATATATATATATATTTTTTTTTTTTTGGCAATTTGGGCTGTTTTCTTTTTATGTGAACCTGGTTTTGGTTTGAGTCTTGCTGGTTTCAACAACAGTCATGTTTGATATCAGAGAGGCAAAAGTTTTGGTTAGAAAGTGAAATGTTTTCATTTTCAAGGTGTAGGAAATTTCTTGGTTAGATGGTCTACATGAAGGAAGAAACTATGCGTTGCCAGGCTTCGGATTGAGAGTTTAACAATGGTAATCTGAACTTTAGATTGTACTTGGTTTTGTTCATTTATTTTTTGTACATGTGAGGTATTCTTTTCCCATTCCATAAATCGCATCCACCCATTTCATGATGAAGTCTTAAGTGCTAACCGTAGACATGTCCCCTTGTTGACTGATTTTGGCATAGCTCATAGATCAAATAGTGTTATATTTAGCAGTAATGTATATAGTTCTATCATCTATGTGCGTTTGACCTACTTAATTATTATGATTCACTCATACATGGAGCAAAAAGTTATTGCTTGTATGTGAATATAAAGCAAAACTGTTGATTCGTTTGCCATTTGAATGCCATTTTTAACGAAAATTTCCTTTGCAACATCTTAATTGCTTTGGTACTTTATTGCAGGGAGCTCCTGTGAATATTATTGTAGGTTCTCACGTCTGGGTTGAAGACCCTGATGAAGCTTGGATTGATGGGCAGGTTTCAAAAATTAATGGAAAGGATGCCGAGATTGAGACTAGTAATGGAAAAAAGGTATGCGGATTGCCTAGAATAAGCAACAATTGCTTTAATTCATTTGAGTTCAGCTCTGTTTCAATTAGCTTTTAGTGTCATGGATATGTATACCTTTAGGTTTTCCTTAATCATATGGGAAAGAACCCAGAATCCATCAATTAGATCACTTTTTTTGCCACCTTAATTTCATTTTTTTTGGGCCTGAGATTGACATTTTTCATGTTGGTTAACTTTAAGGTCACTTCAAACTTATCGAAAATATACCCAAAAGACATGGAAGCTCCTGCTGGTGGAGTCGATGACATGACAAAGCTATCTTATCTGCATGAGCCTGGAGTTTTGCAGAATTTAAGAATTAGATATGAACTGAATGAAATTTATGTAAGCATCTCTTCCCTTCATGTAATCAGAATTGATGTCTTCAATAGAATTTCTTGCTTCTTTTAAATGGTTTTTTGTAATATATATTTGTATTTGATGGCAGACTTATACAGGAAATATACTAATTGCTATTAATCCATTCCAAAGACTGCCTCACATTTATGATGCTCATATGATGCAACAATACAAGGGAGCCCCATTTGGAGAACTAAGTCCTCATGTTTTCGCAGTTGCTGATGTTGCATACAGGTTACTGTTTTTCTTCTATACTTTATGCATTTGATTCTTTTTTCTAATTTCTGAACAAATTTTAAAGAAAAACCTTAACTACAATCAGGGCCATGATTAATGAAGGGAAAAGCAATTCAATTCTGGTCAGTGGTGAAAGTGGAGCAGGTAAAACTGAGACCACGAAAATGCTTATGCGATACCTTGCCTATCTAGGTGGTCGAGTTGCCACTGAAGGACGGACAGTAGAACAACAAGTTCTTGAAGTATGATTGATAACGTTAACTCATGTTGCTTTGATAAAGTTTAATTGATTTCATATTGTCTTCCATTAAATATGTCCCTCTGATTTCCTGCACATATCTGATAAGAGCATTATACTATCTGAATGCAGTCTAATCCGGTCCTTGAAGCGTTTGGCAATGCAAAAACTGTTCGAAACAACAATTCCAGGTAAGATACTCCTGTAAAATGATACCAAGGAAGGATATTGATTTGCTTCTTTGTATCCAACCGATGATTAAACAATGACAAAAAGATGCAAACTTATGAGAATGTCTTACGCACTTCAACATACTAGCAAGTCCAATCAATTTATTGTATCAAATCTTTCTTGCCGCAAAATAAATTATTCAGCTCATCACATTAATTGCATTTAATACTTACATATATAACAACAATGCAGTTACACTCCCAGAGAGGTTTTTCTTTGTGGTTTGACTCTGATCTTTCCTAAAACTAATACTGGTGCAGCCGTTTTGGTAAATTTGTTGAGATCCAGTTTGACAAGCATGGAAGAATATCAGGAGCTGCCATCAGAACTTACCTTCTAGAGAGATCTCGTGTTTGCCAAATTTCTGACCCTGAGCGCAACTATCACTGTTTTTATCTTCTTTGTGCTGCACCACAGGAGGTATTTTGTTAGCTTCTTTTGAGATTATTTGACTTTTGGTGAATATTAGCCATTTTACTTTTCATGAGGCTTAAGTTACTTTTTTAAACAGGAAATTGAGAGATACAAGTTGGGAAACCCCAAAGCCTTTCACTATCTTAACCAGTCACGTTGCTATGAACTGGTTGGTGTAAGTGATGCCCATGATTATCTTGCTACAAGGAGAGCTATGGACATTGTCGGAATTAGTGAGAAGGAGCAGGTATAACCCTTACAGCTGCAAGTATTCAGCTGCCTTGTGATACAAAACCAGGAATGACCATCATCATCTTCCTCTCTCTCTCTCTCAGGAGGCAATTTTCAGAGTTGTTGCTTCAATTCTTCATCTTGGAAACATTGATTTCACTAAAGGAAAGGAAGTTGATTCATCAGTTCCAAAAGATGACCAGGCCAAGTTCCACCTGAAAACAACAGCAGAGCTTCTCATGTATGTACTTTTTCTTCAGTCACAAGGTCATTTTCTACTATCTTCACTTTCATATTTGTGTAATCATTGAATTTCACTTCATTTCAGGTGTGATGTTCAGGCCTTAGAAGATGCATTGTGTAAACGTGTTATGATCACACCTGAGGAAGTTATAAAGAGAAGCCTTGATCCTCGAAGTGCTACAGTTAGCAGGGATGGTCTGGCTAAAACAATTTATTCACGATTGTTTGACTGGTGAGAAGCTTGTATATGAGATAATCTCATACAACCAACTGAAACGTTTTTTAGTTACTAATGATAAAGATAAAGCAGAATAGGATTTATGATGCTGAGGTAATACTAAGTTTTTGCATCTGCTTGTATGCAGGCTGGTGAATAAAATTAATAAGTCAATTGGACAAGATCCTACCTCAAAATCTCTAATAGGGGTCCTCGACATATATGGTTTTGAAAGCTTTAAGGCTAATAGGTATGCTCCATGGTTGTAGGCTATGTAAATAGATAGAATATTCTATTTAAGATATTGCAAAAAAAAACTACATGTGATTCGTTACGCAGTCTTATCACTTCATTTTACCGTATCTCTCTGTGCAGCTTTGAGCAGTTTTGTATTAATTTCACAAATGAGAAGTTGCAACAACATTTCAATCAGGTGTGGTCTCAAATCATGTTGACCATTTCAGCTATCTTTCAATCAGCAACTATTAATATAAGTGTTCTGGTATATTCTTCAGCATGTCTTCAAGATGGAGCAAGAAGAGTACACAAAAGAGCAGATCGATTGGAGCTACATTGAATTTGTTGATAATCAGGATGTCCTGGACCTTCTTGAAAAGGTTATTCCCCTACACATCATGTTGACCATTACTGTCTTGTCTCAACCAAATCTGTTAGATATCATATTCTTGCGACGTGCCACCATGTTTACTCTCTATATGGCTCCCACTGGGTGTCAATGAGGTTTTGTTGTGCTTGTATGTGTCACAGTCCTCACATGGCTTAACTTCGCACATATTCTTCCGCGAAAAGCTGGTCTGTTCTTCCGTACTGCTTTATTTTCTGATATTGTGTTTCCAATCTCCTTTTGCAATGAGCTAATTAAGCCTTAAACTCAAACAAATGGGAATAGAAATTTGCAGTTGCAATCCAAAATCCTTTTTTTTTTTTTCATTTATACTATTCTTCATTATTTAGTTAAAGATATAATTTTTGTCCTCTTCATTTTCTTGGCAGAAACCTGGAGGAATTATTGCTCTTCTAGATGAAGCTTGGTAAAATTTTTGCTACTTCTTCTCAATGAAATATATCTATAACTCACTAAATAACTTCTAATGTTAGAAGAAGAAATTTGGTACTGCTCAAGTTATTTAATGCACAGAAACTTAAGTTTATGCTGCTAGTCCGATGACTAGCATAATTTCTGTCTTGTTAACTATAAATTCTTTTTTTTCTCCAGCATGTTCCCGAAATCAACTCATGAAACTTTTGCAAACAAGCTTTATCAGACGTTTAAGACCCACAAGCGATTCATTAAGCCAAAATTGTCGCGCACTGATTTCACCATTGCTCATTATGCTGGAGAAGTATGTTCACTAGCAAAGTGTTTATGAGTAAATAGTTGAAGCTTCTGTGTCAATTTTAGATTATTTCTAATAGCACTCCTTTTCAGGTCCTATATCAATCTGATCAATTTTTGGACAAAAACAAGGATTATGTGGTTCCCGAACATCAAGACTTGTTGAGTGCTTCCAAATGTCCATTTGTAGCAGGACTCTTCCCCCCACTTCCAGAAGAATCATCTAAATCATCCAAGTTTTCTTCAATCGGTTCTCGTTTTAAGGTAGTTTTGCCTATCTTATCTTCAAGATTTTGGTTCAGTCTCAATAAAATTCTTCTTTGACACTGCTTCAGATAACTTGTCATATACTCCAAGAACTTGAGGAGTAACATTTTCTTGATAAATGCTGCAGCTACAATTACAGCAACTAATGGACACATTAAATTCTACACAACCGCACTACGTCAGATGTGTAAAGCCAAACAACCTACTTAAACCTGCTGTATTTGAGAATGTTAATATCATGCAACAACTTCGTTGTGGTGTGAGTACAGATTTCTTATGTTATCATTAGCTTGTTTTCAATTTTGAACTGGTTTTGCAGAAGTATTCTTATTTTGTTACTTCTTAGATGTTCTTTTTTCACTAAAAGTTGGTCCTGTAGGGTGTTCTAGAGGCAATCAGAATCAGTATGGCTGGTTATCCAACCCGCAGAGCTTTCTTTGAATTCATTATCCGATTTGGACTTCTTCTTCCTGAGGCTTTGGAAGGAAAGTAAGTAAGCTCTTTTAGCTTAAAATTGCAATTAACTATGATGAAAATGGTGTGATTCTGTTGTACTATAGAGATTGGAGTTATGACTTTGTTCTTGCTCTCTACTTGTCATAATTGAATTCATGCGATGCTGTTCTCCTTGATTTCATTCCTAAGCAGCTATGACGAAAAGATTGCATGCAAAAAGATTTTGGAAAAGGCCGGACTTCAAGGATATCAGGTAATAGAACAATTTTAATGCAGCTGTTCGAACAGTTCTATTGTTTAACATGTGTCATGTAGCATCTTGTCATAAACATGCTTTAGAAATTGAAAATTCCATACATTAGTAAAAGGATTATGTGCTTTATATTGTAATATTGTAGAGAAGAATCATCATTAATTGGCCACAAAATGGTTTTTGCAGATAGGTAAAACAAAGATCTTCTTGAGAGCTGGTCAGATGGCAGAATTAGATGCACGAAGGGCAGAAGTACTCAGTAATGCTGCCAAAACTATACAGCGGCGAATTCGTACTCATATATCTCGCAAAAGATTCCTTGCATTGCAAAAGGCTGCTATAGATCTTCAAGCTATTTGTAGAGGTGAGAGTTTAAAAAATCTTGTGGCATGAGTTGAGTTGTAAGTGTAAGCTTTCATGGGTTTAGATGGCATCTTGTTGTTTATGAGGGTGGGAGAATGGGAATCGTAAAATAATGAAACTAAGACATCTAACATGTTAATCAACTTCTTCTTTGTGCTAATTTTCACATGTACATGTCTAATGTCTAGGAAGACTGGCTTGCAAACTTTATGATAACGTCAGAAGGCAGGCAGCAGCTTTGAAAATTCAAAGGAACACAAGGAGGTACCAAGCTAGAGAAGCCTATAAGAAACTCCACATATCTGCCCTCGTCTTACAGACAGGTTTGAGGGCGATGGCTGCCCGTAAAGAATTCAGATTCAGGAAGTTAAATAAAGCTGCAACAATGGTTCAGGTTATATTCTAAATCATATTAGGTTGCTTGAAGATTTTCCTCCTTGTCTATCCATTTGAGACTATTCGTTGTCTTAAATTTGGGAAAAAATTTCAGGCTCGATGGCGCTGTCATAGAGCTGCCACATATTATAAGAAGCTTAAGAGAAGTTGTCTAGTGACACAAACCAGGTGGAGGGGAAGAGTTGCAAGAAAAGAGCTTAGAAAGCTCAAAATGGTTTGTGCTGGATAATCTTTCTTTAGTAGTCTTATATAATTTAGTTCTTTGAAATGTAAGTCCATCTTATCTGGTAGGTTTTAATCTTTTTGTGTACTTTCTTGCGTCCATAAACTGGTGTTGCATGTTGCTGTATTGGAATGATGCCGTTAGAAGAAACAGGTGCAAGGGAAACAGCTTTTATGATTCCCACTTTTCCCTTTTTATGTAGGCTGCAAGGGAAACAGGTGCACTAAAAGAAGCAAAGGATAAGCTTGAAAAGAACGTGGAGGAACTTACATGGCGTTTGCAGCTGGAGAAACGTTTAAGGGTAATACTTTTATTTGGCAGATATTAATATTTGGTGGAGAACTGCAAAAACATGAAACATTATTGCTCTATTGGAAGTTGACAGATCGTGTCACATTGTAGAAAAGCATTACGCTAATGCACACCCTGGGTAATATAACAAGCAATAATGTATCTCATAACATGTTCAACGTCAACATTCTTGAATTATTTTTGTTGTCTGTAGAGATTATATTTTATTCTATGCTTCTTCATGGATATATGTTCATGGAAAGGCTTGAAACCATGTCTGCAGACTGACTTAGAAGAAGCAAAAGCTCAGGAGGTAGCAAAACTGCAAAACTCATTGCAAGAAACGCAGAAAATACTTGATGAAACTAATGATTTGCTTGTTAAAGAACGAGAGTCTGCAAAAAAGGCCATTGAAGAAGCTCGTCCTGTTATTCAAGAGAAAGAAATTTTAGTTGAGGATACAAAGAAAATTGAATCTCTAACAGCAGAAGTCGAAAGCCTAAAGGTATAAAGGTCACTCCACAATTACCGCTTATTTTCTTTTGATGAAACAAGCAAGTAATAGAACATAAACAATTGCCTCCAAAATGGAATATATCTTCAAATAATGCTTCAAGAGTTTCTCCTCAGCAATGTAATGTCGTTTTATGATAAGACAACATGGTAAAACTACAGTTGAATACTTAAAGTGAACAGATATTTAGACTGATCATTAGTTTGTGATCTTGACCTTGCTGCTATTTCCCACAGGCCTCATTGGACTTGGAAAAACAAAGAGCTAATGATGCAGAAGGAAAATGCAATGAACTCCAAGAGTCAAGTGAAGAAAGACGAAAAAAACTGGAAGAAACAGAAAAAAAAGTTAAACAACTCCAGGAAACAGTGAGAGGGTAGCGTATGAAGAATAATTTCCTTAATAGTTTACTATAAATGGTCAAGAACATATAATGCATAAGTTTTGTACAGTTGAAGTTCTTGCTCACATCCATACCCCCACATTGAACTCTTCCTGATGTAGTTAACTGAAATCAGGTTAGAGGAGAAGCTCACAAATCTAGAATCAGAGAATCAAGTCCTACGGCAACAGGCTGTATCTATGGCTCCAAATAAATTCCTTTCAGGACGCTCGAGATCAATTTTGCAGGTACTTTGTATAATCAACTTGTGTGTAATTTGCAATTTAACTTTTATTGCCTCATAGGATTAAGGAGTTTCACCTGCTGTCTAATGATTGGCAGAGAGGTTCTGAGAGTGGTCATCTAGAAGCAAGGGCAAACCTGGTGAGTGAAGTGCTTAAAACATTATACTATTATTATCACCACAAAAAGGAGTCAAAAAATAAAATAAAAAACCCTCAGTCTACGTTACATATAGGTGTTCTTTGTTGTCTAAATTCTTTCATTGGTCAATGTATTTTAACAGGATCTGCACAGTGCCTCAGTAAACCATAGGGACACTACTGAAGTGGAGGGGAAACCACAAAAATATCTAAATGAGAAACAACAGGAAAACCAGGAGTTGCTCATTCGATGTATTGCACAACATTTGGGTTTTGCAGGGAACAGACCTATTGCAGCCTGTATCATATATAAATGCCTTCTGCAATGGAGATCATTTGAAGTTGAGAGAACTAGTGTCTTTGATAAGATCATTCAGACTATAGGCCATGCTATTGAGGTTGAAATATCAAACTTTTACACCTAATGTTTTACAAAAGTTATGATTAGAAACCTCAAATACTTGAACTGATTGTTGGCAATTGAATTTCAGACCCAGGATAACAATGACATCTTGGCCTATTGGTTATCCAATGCCTCCACACTTCTCTTGCTACTCCAGCGCACATTGAAAGCTAGTGGGGCTGCTGGAATGACTCCACAACGCCGTCGATCATCATCAGCTACTTTGTTTGGGAGAATGACCCAAGTAAAAACTCTCACTGATGTCAAGTCATGCCATTCAGGAAATTTCATTTCTGTAATTAATCCATGTTTTTGCTGTTATTTTCTTAAAGAGTTTCCGTGGAGCTCCACAAGGTGTCAATCTCTCCTTAATTAATGGTGGCATCAACAGTGGGGTGGAGACTTTACGGCAAGTTGAAGCCAAGTACCCGGCTTTGCTTTTTAAGCAGCAGCTTACAGCTTATGTAGAGAAGATATATGGAATGATCAGAGATAATCTGAAAAAAGAAATTTCACCATTGCTTGGATTGTGCATCCAGGTATTATACCTCTGACTTCGTGAAGGCAGTAATCAGAAGAAAAAAAACAGAACTATGAAGAGAACTGTGAAGGCTTTTTATTATATTTCTTAATTATACTACTTTTATGACTCATATGTATACAATGATATAGGCACCAAGAACATCCAGAGCAAGCTTAGTTAAGGGAGCATCACGATCAGTTGCTAACACTGCAGGCCAGCAGGCTTTGATTGCTCACTGGCAAGGGATTGTCAAGAGCCTAGGAAACTTCTTGAACACGTTGAAAGCCAATTATGTTAGTAACACATTGCACTTTTCCCCTTTTGCTCGTATCTATAGGTTCTTACTCTAACATTCCAAAGTGAACATGGTTCTGTGAGTCTTCAAGTTTGGTGTAATAAGTTAGGAAGGTGGGGGAGTAAAGCTCTACCATTTGCTATACATGTTTGGATGCCTTTTCCATAAGGATTAATGTTGCTTGACCCCTTTACAGGTACCTCCAATCTTAGTCCGTAAGGTGTTCACGCAAATATTCTCATTTGTCAATGTTCAACTATTCAACAGGTAACAATCCGTGCTGCTATTTTGATGATTTATACTTAGTTTTTCTGCTGTATGCAGAAATTTTTTTCATATGGCATTTGAATACACTATTCTGTTACAGCCTTTTGTTGAGAAGAGAGTGCTGTTCATTCAGTAATGGTGAATATGTTAAAGCTGGATTGGCTGAATTGGAACACTGGTGTTACAAGGCAACTGATAAGGTAACTTTGACTGCCACACGTTTCACTTTCTGGTTCTAGGATATGTACTTACAAAATTTAAATGATATATAAATGCAGTATGCAGGTTCAGCTTGGGATGAGCTCAAGCATATTAGGCAGGCCATTGGTTTTCTAGTATGTTCTCATTCTTGTAACACTTTTAATGTATCCTTCCATTACTTGTTATGACAGTCAGGAATAAAAAAAAGTGGTGCACTAATATTAATGGTACCATGTTTCTGATTTAGGTTATACATCAAAAGCCTAAGAAAACACTGGATGAAATAAGCCACGATCTCTGCCCGGTGAGTAAGAAAAACGTGACTAAAATGAGATACAACTATCACTACTTTTCAATCTTCCCTGGATCTCAAGTCTCAATTGACTTCATTTTCCATTTGCAGGTCCTCAGCATACAGCAGCTGTATCGTATCAGCACAATGTATTGGGATGACAAGTATGGCACACATAGTGTGTCCCCAGATGTAAGTTTTAAGAGATGCAGTTTCTTAAACTAGATTAAAAACATCTACAATATTCAGGAATTACACAAATTTTAGAGGAAAAAAACTGACTTTAATGAGCTTTGCTGGTTCATCTACATCTAGGTAATAGCCAATATGAGAGTGTTGATGACAGAAGATTCCAACAATGCAGTTAGTAATTCCTTCCTTCTAGATGATGATTCAAGGTTAGAAGTTTCATTTATGCTTTGCCATTGTTTTTCTTCTTGCTATTTCAACTATGGATGCATTGGTCTGAAAGCTAATTGAAAACGTTACCTGGAATGATCTGACCTTGTTCTTAAACTGACTTTCCCCAACTTCTATCATTTTGCAGCATTCCATTTTCAGTGGATGACCTATCAAAGTCAATGGAACAAATAGACATTTCTGACATTGAACCACCACCACTTATTCGTGAGAACTCAGGCTTTAGTTTCTTATTGCCACGTACAGATTAATCGAGTTTGATTCCTGCAATGGATTGGTTCTCTGTATCATTCTATCTCTCTCCTTTCAAGATATAGGTTCAGCTTCTAGCCTTGTTAATTATGAATGTCCTTGTGGTGTTCATTTATTTTGCTTTAAATTAGAAATATTTGTCCAAAATTTTCTTCCTACATATAGGTCATTGATTCAAAGAGGAATGTCTTTGTTCCCTACATAGCATAGCTGTCAAAATTTTCGCTTATGTTGTACAATTAGCTGACCTTTTTATAAATGGAAAATGATTAAAGCACATAACTATTTCCAAATTTTGCAGTGTTTCCAATCCGATCTTATTCTCAGTTTCTCCATACATTTTCTTCAAACTATTGTTTTCCATGAATACTGTATTACTGTTACTTAATGCAGGATTTTGATTAAATACCATATACCATCACAGGCCATCAAGATATCCCAATGGACATTTTTGTTTTTGTTGATAAAGTTGCAGTGGTTTTGAACATTTTTGCTTGCATCTGCATTAGTGTAACCCAGAAGATGAAACTCTGAAGCATAAACACTTTGGGGAGATTTAGTGATCCTATTGTCTTTTGTAGTTGGTACTGTTTGGTAGGAAGGAAAATGAGAGAAAAAAAAGAAAAATGTTTTAATTTAATCGTTTAACTATCAAATAGCATGTATTGTCATGTAGCTCAACCATTAGATTAGAAAATTTTCTTTCCTTGTTATCAAATGGAGTGTAAAAAGACACAGCAAAGACTGTTATAAAAACTACCATGAACAGAGCTGTATCCAGCAGAGGCATAAAGCTCTAGATAGACAGAGGCATGGATAACAGAGCTGTTCTCAACCTATGCTATCATACATCTTCCAGATATAAGTAAAAGGTTAAACTCTGCCAGTCAATTCATCAATATATATGTCATGAATGGTAAAAAAGAGCACTAACTGGTATAATCCAACTGCACATCATATTTGAATCCCATAGGCTAGCTAAACAAAAAAAGGTTATCGCAAAGTATCACGTAACCTATTGTTGCAAACTTCCACATATATAGCATAAAGCATACATTCATGTTGTGCTGTTTCCACTGCAACACAAGGCAGACAAGGGCCAAGCTCGTTTATAGTAGCGTACTACTTTGGAAAAATCTCACAAGATAGAAGATCTACGACCTTGGTACTGAATCACTTCCACCCTTTCACTCTCAGTGATAAAGAAATATGTTTGATCCTGATCTAATGAAGACTGACTCAGAATTTTGTGGAAGAAACGACAATATTTCAGTTTCTTTGGACCGTGTACTACATTTAATTGCAACTGTTGGATTCTTCCTCCACATTATTTAGAAATTCAACTTATATCTCAAGCTCCAATTAACATTTGACTGTTTGTCACTTGAGAATAAGGATGTATAACCACATAAATCCTTTTCAAGAACCCATATCTCCTGGCCTGATTTGCAGCTCCAACCGTACTGTAGACACCCGTCTGAAGACTCCTCAAGAACTTGCTCATCAAAATCAAATGTCCCTGGGAGTTTGACCAAAGCAACATGGTTCTCTTGATTGTCTGGGTCATAAATAGCTACATTCCCTTGGGCTGCATGCCGGTGGATAAAGCCTCCAATCACAGTACCTGAAGTCCAAGGAGATAGAGATATAATTGAAGAACATTTGAGCTTAGAATAACTCCATGTACTGGTCTTTGAAGAGAAAGTTTCAATGGTAACAATGTTGATTTCATTAAATCTGCTTTCACATTTTGCCCGATCAACCCTGTTGCTAATATCATCATCGGGGGAGTTTTCAACAATGAATGCCATGCACAACTCCTTAAAGTACACCCGAGGACAAGGTAGTTTATGTTGTTGCTTGGTGACAGGATCCCATACATAATAGGCCTTAGGGTGGCGACCGCAAAGAAGAAGGCCATTGGAAGAGTCAATCAAGTAACCAAGCAGTTTAAGGATCCCAGAAAACTTCATATAATCACCCTCTCTACTAGTAGATAGCAATGGAAGAGCAGGTTCTGAACATGGGCGACGAGCACCACCTTCAGATCCTCCAAGGTACAAGGAATTGCACACAAAAAATCCTAATAGGTTAAAATCTACTCTCCATCTTCTCAAATAACCGTGACGAAAAGAAGAGCTGCATGTCAAGTGAAGCCGCCTCTTTGATACATAATGACCTTCGAAATAGATTCTGGTGGCAATTGGAGAAGGATATTGCATAGGATGTCATCACAACTCAATGCAGTATGAAGAACACTCTCGTTCTCATCCTTCTACTCTTCCTGTAGATAAGCAAATCCTTCAAGATGTATGTGGAGTATCAAATCAATAGTTTGTTCAAGTTGCATCTCTTTGATGGCTCAAAAAGACAGGCTACTCAATTGAAACTGAACTAATTACCTTGACAATAAACCCAGCAAACTTTTCACTTCCCAATGAAAAGAAAGAGGCACCAGCATAAGACCTACTCACCACAAAAAGCTCAGAATAAATTTCTCAACCAACAAGTCATAAAAAAATTGGACATATCAATGAATTATTTTGTTAAGTAATTGAACCCATGCATTGTGGATTCACAATCCACTGCCTTGATCCGCTTGGCTACATTCACGCCTCTATTATGCTACAGTTTAGAAGATTATCTGAAACAGCAATGGCTTATGCTTGTAAGGAGCTTTGGCCTATTCCTTCAGTAACACCGTGAAAGCAGGTGATATTAACTTCGAAAATGGTAACATTTTAGGCTGAGACATGTATAAACTTTGGCCATCCATGATTGAACTGCTAACATTCATCACATATTCATGAAACAACTATGAAAAATCATTCAAAAAGATCAAAACTTTTATCATAATGTCACTAAAACAACAAAAAAGAAGGCAGTTTCCAGAGCCTCAAGCGGCAACCAAATAGCGTTGTTTTAAAAACACTAGACAGAACATGAAATGCTTAAACTAAAATAACCCAGATATTAAGATGAGATTAACAACCCTAAAAAATGCATACTTCAACAAGAAAAAAGATACCCAACCAAAAAAGAAATTTTTTTTTGTTTATTTTGAGTGGTTTAAGTGAGAGTAAAGGAAACTACGTCGTTTGGCTTGTCTTCTTGCTGCCGCTCCTCCTAGCTTTGCTAGGGACTCCTAAGCTGGCAACTTTCATCAATTCCAAAGCAGTTTTCCAGTTACTGTTATTACCATGTTTGCTTCTATTCAGTTCGATTGCATACAATTCTTCTTCTGTCGAAGCCACCATACATACTAACAACTGGGCTGTCTTAGTTTGCACCTCTCGTTTCTGGTAATAAATCAAACGGGAACTTCCGTTTTCCCACTTGTGTTTAGGATCAAAAGAGGACAACGCCCTATCACATGAAAAGGGAGAGGAAATGATTTGGTTGGAACCCAAACTCAAATGCTTCTTTAAGGTTTATTTGTCGCTAGATCAAGAAGCAGAATTTAATATTTATTCATTTGACTATTGAAGTGGCTTTGTCCTTTGTTCCTTTGCTTTATTCTTTTGCCGTTTCTCACAAGATGGTAAGGATGAATCAGCTGAGTGTCAGCTTTCCAAATTTCTTAAATGGAAGCTACAGGTATCAGCTTTCTTCTTTTTGTTTGTGCTTGGGAGGTATTCCCTGTTTGATGATTTGAAAAATGTTTTCGAGGGATAATGGATGTTTCATTGAATGCCTTTTACTTGTGGTTCATCCATGTAATTGAAGTGTTAAAAATAACGCCTTACAAATGCAAATGCAAGCTCCAAATGTGGCAATGGTGGTGCTCCGACATAAAATTTTCTCTTTTCTCAACTTTCGGATATTAAGGATTTGGATTGAATTCAATTTAATTTGTTTTATATAATATTATAAAATTTTAAATTTAAATTTAAAATTAAATTTAAATTTATATTATTTGATTGGAATTAAATTTAATTAGTTTGATTTATTAATTTTAATTTTTTATATGTTAATTTAATTTAAAATCTAATATATATATATATATTATATTACAATATATAATGTTATATGATCAAAATTATTTGTGGATGCTTAAGTAGATAATCTCTTTTAATGACACATATGATAATATTTTTATTATTTTATTTATCAAATAAAATTTTTAATAAATTTTTTAAATAAATATTTTGGATAATTATTTAAATTGAAATCAATATCTATCTAAAATTAAAATTTTTGCATAAGATTTGAATTCAAATATATTAAATCATAATTTATCTTTTCTTTTTAAAATTAATGACAGTTTCAAATATATATTTTCATAAAATTTTATTTTTTATCAAATTATTCTATTTAATAAATTATTTAAATTTAATATTTTTAGATAATTATTTAAATTTAAATCAAAATCTATCCAAAATTAAAAAGTATTTAATAGAATATTTACATTTAATACTTTTAGATAAGTTAATGAATTATTTACTAGAAAGCATGAATTTTTAAAGTAATAAAAGCTTACATCTTTGTATGAAAATATGAGACATTTGAATGTTGATAAAAAAATTTAGATAAAAATATCTTTTCACTTTGAAAACAAATATAATGTTTTATTTATGTTCTAATTCAAATATTTTTATATTATATATTTGGTTAATTTAATTGTTTTTCTTTAGTTCATAACTTTTTTTAATTTTGCTTAGATTGATTTAATTAACCTTTTGTATTATATATAATTTTGTTTTATTCATTTCTTCAATATTTTTATTCGCTGATAATTTATTAACATATTTGCCTTCATTATTGTATATATTTAACATTGATAAATTAATATGTAATTTTATATTCTTTATTTTTTTTACTATACTTTTTATTATTAAATATTTTTGTCTACAATGGATGATATGAAAAGAATGATGATCATTACCATGTCTAACTCATAAAAAATACTATCAATTATGTTTAAAATGATTAAAAATAAAAAGATATTTCAAAAAAGTTTTTAAGCATAACTTAAAGAATTTTTGTTTCCCTTTTATTTAAAAAATAATTTTATTTTGTTAACATATATAGAAATAATTGTTAACCCAATATATTTATATAATAATTACTTGAAGTATATTAAAAATAAGAACTAATAAAAAATAAATAATTATAACAAAAACAATAATTATGATTTGTTATTTAATCATATATATATATACACACACACCATCTAATCAATATTATGATAAAAACGATTATTAATTTTATCTATTGAAATATTAATTCTTGATTTTTTTATCAAATAAGAAAAAAGTGGTAGTAAAATTTTTACTATTTAGCAAAAAATTTAAAGAAAATATTTTAAAAAAATGATTTTTATAATTCTTGAAAATTTATCAAAGTTTAGACTTCTTTTAGATGAACAATATCATTTATAATATATTATGTATAAATTATCATTTAATTATAACTTAATATTTATAAATATATGATTATATATTAGATAAATACTTAAAAAATAAATTTAAAATTAAGAAAAATTTAATAAAAAATCCTGTACATTGTACAGGTTAAAAAACTAATTTTAATATATTTTAATAAATTTTGATACAAAATTATTATTTTTATTTTATAAAATTTAAAATAAATATAAAATTAATAAAAATATAATTTTATTTTTTTAATTTTTATTCAAAATTCAAATCAAATTTAATATATATCTAATATCTAAATTTAATTTAAATAAAAATCAATTCAAATCAATCAAATCTTATGATTTTAAATTAATTTTAAATTTTTTCAAATTTCATCATCTGCAAAAAAGTTTGAAAATATTTATGTCATTATTTAGTTATGCAACAGAGAACCAAATAAAAAATATATATCTAAAATCTGAAATATAAAATAAACTAATCCGTTTATCAAGGTATCTTTCAACAGTCAACCCTTAAAAGCCAACATCTCAAGTCCAAACCATCATCCAATGGTCCAGATTCCAGGACCAAAATTAAAAATCCCTAAAAAACCTAAAAAGACAAAAAACAAATTATAAACTAAAAATTAAAAATTAAAAAAAAAATCTGCGAAGTTTTTCTCCTTTTCTCTCTCTAAAACCTCAAAAAGGGAAAACCCAATGGAACTGAATGAAAACCGACAACACTACTTCACCACCAACACCTCCACCTCTGTCACCAGTGCTCCGTCACCGACCAATGGGCTTCTGCCACCTAATGAAAGTGGAGGGTCCCACCACATGCTGTACCCTCACTCTGTGCCTTCGTCGGTGACGTCGCCCTTGGAGCCAGCTAGGAGGAAGAGAGGTAGGCCTAGGAAGTATGGCACCCCGGAACAGGCCATGGCCGCTAAGAAAACGGCGTCGTTGAGCTCGAAGGAAAGGAGAGAACAGCAACAGCAGTTGGTTCTTGGTGGCGGCAGTGGTTCGCTTTCTGGGTCTTCTAAGAAGTCTCAGTTGGTTGCTTTAGGTGGGTTTTTTTTAGTAAAAACTTAATTACTTTTGGGTACCCTTTTGTGAATTTGATGATTTTTGGGAGGTTTGGTTGCAAATTTATTGAAAATTGAGTGTGTTTTTGGTGCATTGTGATGGTAAACCATTTGCTTTGTTTGCTTTATGGGGTGTCTTTGAAAAAAAGATTTTATTTTTGATACCTTTTTTTTTTTTAAATTGAAAGTGTTTTATTGCAAATTTGTTGGAATTGAGAGGGTTTTGGTCCATTGCGTGTGAAATATTGCCGTTGTTTGCTCTGGTTGGATATTTGGATAACAGATTCTTTCTGGTTCATATTCGTGAATTTGATGGTTTTTTGTGGTCTCGTTGCAAATTTGTTGAAATTGAGGTTGTTTTGAGTGCATTGTGTATGAACCATTGCATTCTTTGCTCCATGTGTTTTTTTTTTTTTTTTAAATAGTCTCCTGCTTTTTTTGTTATCCTTTTGTGAGTTTGATGATGTCTGAGGAGCTTGTTGCAAATTGGTTGAAAATTGAGAGGTTTTTGATGCTTTCTATCATGATCCATGCCTCTTGGTTGTTTTGAATGACCCCCTTCCCTCCTACAGTTTTACATCAAGTAGGTATTTGTAATTTGATGGAACTTTTAGTTTATGGTTTACCTTTAGGTCTTCAATCAGTCTTGGGCATATATTTCAGTTGGCCAATTTACTTTGTTCCTGCTTCTGTTGTCAAATTTGGAATTTATTAAGTTTTTTGATTTATTATATTCTTGAAGGCCTTCAATTTCAGAGGCTTAGGTTGTAAAATTTTTGAATTTGTGATGGTTTTGCTGCACTTTTGTAAAAAATTCATTTTGAAAAGATGTAACTTTAATCCATGGTGTTGACATTGTTGTATTATGTGCAAACATGTTCTTAAATTTGTATATTAATTTGTCTTAGTTCATTCCTCAGTACTCCTTCTGTTCTTATGCTAAGAGCTTTTGTTGTTCTAAGTGCAAATCACCTTGCATGGTTGCATTGATTCATTTTCAAAGTTCAACTGGTTTGCTTTTAGCTAGAAGATGGTATATCTACATGCTTTAATTTCATTACTAAAATCCAAGCCAAACACAGTTGAGCTGTGTGTTATACATGTTGACTGCTATTTAGTGGTAGCGGATAGTGCTTCAGACTGAGCAGACTGGTGATAAAAGAAAATCTGTATCTTACACGCAAATTCTTTGAGTCACATGGATAATAGAGAAAAACAAAATTTTCTTTTCTTTTCTTTTCTTTTTTTTTTCAGGAGGAAACTGGGAATAGACCTTTTTCTTTTTCTTTTGTTTTTCAATTTAATTGGTACCTTTTGTTAGTTAATAGTTATGTCAAATTCATCAATACATCAAATAAGGGTGCTGGAGTAGTCTTATTCAAATATATTGCAATGTTTAAAAATAAGGACAGATCGATTCATATGTTTTGTTCATTTTCTTATTATTGATTGATTCAGAATATCATGTATATAAATCATCTATTTGTTTCATGTATGAATGCCTTTTTTTCCCCTGCAGACATTGTATGTTTCATGCAGTTGTATGCAGTTTGGTTTTCAAGCAGTTTGAGTTATCATTTGCTTCTATATAGTTTGCAGTCTCGGTGAGATACTTAAGTCTTGCTCTTTCTACCCTCTTATTGATGCAGGCAATGCAGGTCAAGGTTTTACTCCACATGTTATCAATGTAGTTGCAGGAGAGGTATGGTGCTTATTACTGTTGGAAGCTTTTATTAGCACTTAAGATATGTGTTGACATCAGTTATATATATCTGTGGGGAACTGATATTCATGCATACCAATTTCCTTGTAAATTTATGTAATCTGTTAAAATGTGATTTCTGCATGGTCCAATAGTTTTGAAAAGCTGTGCTCTCTGTTTTCTTTAAAGAAAAATTGACATAGTTTGACTTTTTGTCACATCTTAAAGGTTTTTAGGTGGGGTTCAGTTATATGGAATGTCCTGTTGATTATGCCTTATTCATAGATAATAATATAGTTTAAAATCAGAATAGCGGTTCCGTAGTAGTGGACAGAATTGTTAACAGGAGAAGTTGTAAAATCATCAATGGCAAAAGACTGTAAATGAGATTTTTTCTTTTTTTTAATGTGTAACTTTGTGTTTCTGATAAAAAATCCTTATATTTTCAAGGTTATGATCCATTACAAACAATTTGAGGCCATGATAGTCATTGTTGAAAGTTTCATGAGAATATTTCTGATATTTCAAGTTGGTTTTCTCTTTCTTTTTGATTCCTGTTTGCAGTTGAGAGTAGATTGACTGTTTTTCTTTGTTTTTTTTTTTTTTTTAATGTGTAACTTTGGTTTTCTCTTTCTTTCTGATATAAGGGATGGGAGTTAAGGCCTTTAGCATATGCAATAGGTTGACTGTGTTCCCTTTTTTTTTTTTTTTTTTTTTTTTCTGTTTCCCCTTTTTGTACTAATTTTCTGAATATTTACCCTTTAGAAAAGGATGCATGAATCCTTTTACATTGGTGTCTGGAGAAAAAATGCTCTATTTCTAAAAGGATACTAGCCTTTATTAGCATGCCTCCATTAAACTGGATTTAACAATTGGTTATCTCAAGAAGATTGGAAAGAAGGGAAAGGAATCCATTTCTTTCAGCTCTCTCTCTCTCTCTTTCTCTCTCTGTGGAATGATTGGACGGTAAGCATCTATAGGTGTCTTCACTCATCCGATGCAATGCAGAAGAGACATTATTGTGGATTTCCTTTGGTTCTTAGCTGTTAGTTTTTGGCAAGTTGAATTATGCCATATTTGTTTTCTTTTCCTTGATCTTGTTGCAGATAATGGGAGGTTGGTGCACATTCCATCATTCTCCTTTGTCAAAGAATCCCTTCTTCATTAATGTGCTCTTGGCTATTATAGGTGTTCAATGTAGTGCTTTTGTGCCTGATAAACAATGTCATGAGAGTAGATTTTTTTTATGTTAATAATTATGAATTTCATTTGCAACAGTCTTGATTCTTGTAGTGTTATATCAACTGTGCTAGGTCAAGATGCAGTATTGTTTCTATATGTAAATCGAGTTGTTTTCTTGCCTTCTTGACATGATATATTGATCCAAATAGGATGTGGGCCAAAAAGTAATGATGTTCATGCAACAAAGCAAGCGTGAAATATGTATTTTGTCTGCATCTGGTACGATCTCTAATGCATCTATCCGCCAGCCAGCAACATCAGGTGGTAACATTGCATATGAGGTAACCACTTCTCTTTCCCCTTTTATTATAATTATTTTATATCAACAATATAACTATGTTTATATGTTCTGTAATCCTTAAATTGGAATTGCATTTTTAAAGGAATAAAAATATACACAAAAAAATGAATCAAGTTTTGTTAGAAAAGCCCATATTACTTCTAAGAGCTGTTTTCGGATTTAGTGTTATCTAAAAAAAGGTTTAGAAAAATTGTTGTTTCTTGTAGATAAATAATAAAGTTTGCAAGGAAAGCAAGGATGGCTGAGTTTGTTAATACAAAGTAAATAAAATTTTAAATAAAGGTTATATATATATATACACATGCGCGCGCGCGCGCGCACACAATAACAACACACTAAGCCTTATATCCTATACTCTGGGGTCGGCTATATGAAAAACCAAATAAGAGAATCAGGTTAGGTTGTAGTTTGAATTTTTTTTGCACCACTCATTTCTATCAACAGCCACCTTTTCGTCTAATTCTTTAACCATCATATAGTTTTTTGTTACTGTGTTTGCTTAGGACTCTAGTCCAATAATGTTGGGTTGTCCATAACATAGTAATTCCTCCAATTGGGGAAAAGACAAATTTACGAAATGCCAAGTGGTTAGAATCTGTTGTTTACATCAGCTGATTTGTAAGCATGTTTACAATTTCAAATCTGGGACATACCTTAGCTATGCCAATTGAATTATGAAAAGCAGAGAGGCAGCTATCCATATTATGTAACGTTTAGTATCAGGTAATATTTCCTGGTATGAGATATGAAAACAATTTATTATGATGCTGTTGCCATGCGCATATGCCTAAAAGGTTCATATGCCCTCATTATTAGTTTCCTTTCCCACTTTGCCAATGTTCTCATCTCTGAGAGAACTTGATGAAACATGCAACTTATTTGCCCAGAATGTGCTTATTTGTCCTGTCAAAATATGATTTGTTTCCTGAGTGATATGATATTAGGGCCGGTTTGAGATCATTTCACTTTCTGGATCTTATGTTCGGACTGAAATTGGAGGGAGGACTGGTGGGCTCAGTGTATGTCTATCAAGTGCAGATGGCCAGATCATTGGTGGAGGAGTTGCTGGACCTCTAAAGGCTGCTGGCCCGGTTCAGGTATTAGCATTATTATTATTATTATTATTATTATTATTTGATTTGGAGAAGGGGATTGGAACCCACTTCTTTGAGGAGGTGATTACTTGTATTTACCGTTGAGTCAAATGCTGAGGTACTTTTTTTTAAAAAAATATACAATTGATATAATGAAAATTCTGGTTAATCATACCATATATTACTTGGGATTTTATTATTTATGTTGGCACGACAGCAAAGAAGAAAGAGATTTAACAAATTCTTTTATTTAAGAAGGTTTAATTATCAGTTATTTTTTATAGAACTCACAACAGTTTATTACATCTACAGGTTATTGTCGGTACATTTATGGTTGACAACAAGAAGGATGTTAGTGCTGGTGCAAAAGATGATGCCTCTGGCAGCAAGGTGCCATCTCCGGTTGGTGGGACTTCAGTATCTAATGTTGGCTTTCGCTCAGCTTTTGAAACTTCAGGAAGAAATCCAATTGGGGGAAATGATGATCATCAAAGTTTCGGAGGAAGCCATTTCTTGATGCAAATGCGGGGCATGCATTGGAGGACTGGTCTAGATGATAGAACTGGTTTCGATTTGACAGGTTAGACTCTTTCAAATGCATGTATCTATGCATGCATGCTCACACTTCAAGAAATACTGAAACTAAATGTCTATTGCAGGAAAAACAAGTCATGGAGCTCATCGATCTCCAGAAAACGGGGACTATGATCAGATTGCAGATTAGATATCTTTTGTCGTAGATATTTAAGTCAACTTATTTGCAAAGAGCTAATTGATGTACAGCTCCTTGGCCCTTGCGTCTCTGCCGGAGTGTAATATGATATACCTGTACAGGTCGGCCCGTTACTCTTTTGTTAGTTGATACTGATTAGTGATTAGATCATGCACCCATAATGTAAGGAGATGGCCTTTAGAAATCCTAGTCCTTTGCCTTGTTATTGAAATGCTTTCTATTATTGTCGCTAATAACTTGCTTACTTTGAGTTTGAGTTGCATAAATCCTCACCTGTTTAGGGCAAATGGTGGGTGGTGGAGGCTAATCATGCACAACCTGAATGATAAAGCATAACAGTTTGTTCATTTAGGTTCCCTTTTGCAGCATGATTGGAGGGATTTTCATCGCATCATGGTATCGTTTTGTGATTAAATCTTTAAGATCGTTGTGGCATGGTAGGAATCTTCTCACCGTGTTGCCAAATGAACCTTTCAATTTAGAAACTTCTGATTGTTCAAAGCCTTTTAATTAAGTTGTGGTTCAAACTCGAAACCATTAATCTTAAAAATGGATAAACTTTGAAGAATGGATGAAAAAAATAATAAATATATAGGATAGTAAGAATTCTTCTCAAAGAAGCCTTTTTTATTTTTTTTAATAATCTGAATAAAATAAAAAATTTATCGTTAATTCTCCTTTCGACATAATAATTATATAAATTGTGAAACAAACATGTAATGTACAAATACTTTGCATTAATAACACCTCCAAAAATTTTAAAAGGATAATATTTTGAATAGTTTTTAAATTATAATAAAATATTTAATATAATATTTTAGTTTTAAAAAATTTGAATATGATATTTAAATTATGAATTTATTAATTAATATGATATTTAACATATAAATAATTATTAAAGTATTATATTAATTGATAAATTTATAATTCAAGAATTATATTAAAATTTTTTTAAAATTTAAATATTATATTAAAAATTATACTATAATTTATAAACTATTTATGACATTAATTCTATTTTAAATTCTCTTTAATAAAAAATACTTTTTATATGAATAATACCCATTTTATTAAATTTGAGTTTTATTTTGATAAAATTTCATTGACATTGAACATTAATTTTAAATTCAAATTTATCATGATATTATACGAAATATGTTTCTTTGAACTTAAGAAAAAGATCTAGTTTTTTAAGATATACTATTTAAAAAATAATACATATTTTATCATTAATACTTATTCTAAGTATATATGTTATTATTATAATATAATAGTAGTAATAAGAAAACAAAAAGCAAATTTTTTTGACTGGGAAAGAAAGGGGGAGGGTGTCTAGGTTCTCTTCACATAGAACTTTGGGTCCCACACTTTCTAAAGCCAAAGCCCTTTCTTTTTGCGGGGTTGTGTTCTTGAGAGTTACTGTTTTCTAAAAGAACTTTAAGACAAGCTCTCTCTGTCCTTCAAGTCAGTTTTTGTCAGACATTTCTTTCAATCTAAAAATCCAGAGAGAGATGTTTCAATCTCAAACTGTCTTTAATCTCGCTTCTGCTCTTTTGTTTTAATCCTTGTGAAGGGTGTCTCTGAAGAAGACCCTTTTTTCTTGTTGTTTATAGTAGTATCTTTTTTGCTAAGCTTTTTAGTTGGTCTTGTTCAAAAAGAAAAAGTGGGGTGTTTGTTGATTGGATTCGGAAATTTTGAAGATTCTGTAAAATGGGTAGTGGTTATTTTTACTTGGAAAGTTGAAAAAGATATTATTTCTTTATTTGGTGTGCTTTTCCTGTCAAAGATTTGTTCTTTTTTACCTTTGCTCTTTGATTACTTGTTTCTCACTTGTGAAGAAAGGTTGACCTTTGATTCTTGAGGTTGGTTTCCTTGAAGTTTTTGTTATTCAGTTGAAGAAAGCTGCAATTTTTTTTTTAATTAAGTCATCTTTTCCAGAATTTCTTTCTTCTTTTCCCTTGTTGGTATATATTAAAGTCTTGGAGGGATGTGAAAAACCAATATTTGATTGCAGGAAATGAATAGAAAGATTGAAATTTTTGGAGTTTAGAGCAGATGGGGTGTTCTAGATCTTGAAATCTAGATAAAAGGATGTTACTTGGTTAAATAGAAGCAACTGGGAATTGTGGCAGATGGGATTTTACCGTCTTTGCAAAGGAATTGGCTTGGGGAAATGAATACTGAAGTTTTCAGCTATAGATTTACAGTTAGTTGAATAAAAAAATTTTATGTATTGGGGGTGTGCAAAGTTTGACCTTTTACGTGTATGGATTGACCCTGTACTCACCTGAGTGGCAATGTTAAGAGCATTAGCTCTTGGCTTGTTGATTTCTTTTTTTGTGATCTCGGTTTCTGCCATTGACAATGAGTTTGCAAATTGTAATTGTGATGATGAGGGCTGGTGGAGTATACATAGCATTTTAGAGTGCCAGAAGGTGAGTGATTTCTTGATTGCTGTGGCATATTTTTCCATACCTATTGAACTGCTTTACTTCATTAGTTTCTCCAACGTCCCCTTCAAATGGGTACTCCTTCAGTTTATAGCTTTTATAGTGCTTTGTGGATTGACTCATCTTCTCAATGGATGGACTTATTATGGTCCTCACTCATTCCAATTGATGCTGTCCCTCACCATTGCCAAATTCCTTACAGCCCTTGTCTCATGTGCCACTGCAATAACACTTTTACCTCTGATCCCTCTCTTACTCCAAGTGAAAGTAAGGGAGCTTTTCTTGAGGCAAAATGTATTGGAATTGGATCAAGAGGTTGGAATGATGAAGAAGAAGAAGGAAGCCAGTTCACATGTTCGAATGTTAACACAGGAAATTAGGAAATCCCTTGATAAACATACCATATTGTACACCACTTTGGTTGAGCTTTCTAAGACTTTGGATTTGAACAACTGTGCAGTTTGGATGCCCAATGAGAGTAGAACACAGATGAATTTGACTCATGAGTTGAAAGCAAGTTCTTCCAGGAGCTTTCACCATTCTATCCCAGCTAATGATCCTGATGTGAAGGCGGTAAAGGAGAGTGAAGGAGTAAGAATCTTAAGACCAGACTCAGCTCTTGGGCTTGCAAGTGGTAATGGATCAGATGAGGCAGGTGCTGTTGCAGCAATCAGGATGCCAATGCTTCAGGGTTATAATTTTAAAGGGGGAACGCCAGAATCTGTAGAGACTTGCTATGCCATTTTGGTTTTGGTTCTTCCGAGTTCGAGCTCCAGGAATTGGAGCTATCCAGAAATGGAGATTATTGAAGTGGTTGCTGATCAGGTAGCTGTAGCTCTGTCCCACGCTGCAGTTCTTGAAGAATCTCAGCTAATGAGAGAAAAACTGGGTCAGCAAAATCATGTGTTGCAGCAGGCAAAGAAGAATGCAATGATGGCGAGCCAAGCAAGGAACTATTTTCAGAAAGTTATGAATCATGGTATGAAGAGACCAATGCACTCAATTTTGGGCTTACTTTCAGTGTTTCAAGATGAAAATATGAACTTAACCAGAAGACTGTTGTTGACACATTGGTCAAAACGAGCAGTGTTCTCTCAACTTTGATGGATGATGTGACGGAGATTTCAGCTAAAGATAATGGAAGATTCGTGCTAGATATGAGACCTTTTAGCTTACATTCCATGATCAAAGAAGCTTCTTGCCTTGCCAAGTGTTTGTCTGTCTATAAAGGCTTTGATTTTGAAGTTGGTGTTCAGAGCTCCTTGCCTGACCAAGTGGTTGGTGATGAGAAAAGGACTTACCAAGTGATTTTGCATATGATTGGCTACCTACTGGACATCAATAGTGGAGGAGGAACTGTCTCACTTCGGGTTTTATCAGATGTTGATAACCAGGATAAGAATGAGAAAATAAATGCATGGAGGTCAAGCACACAAGATAATTACCTGTACTTAAAGATTGAAGTTGATATTCGTGGGGGCAGTTCTCAGGCTGATTCATCAGTCTCAGGCAAACATTCTTCTGGTAGGAGGCGTAACGATGATGAAATTAAGGAGAGGTTGAATTTCAGTATGTGTAAAAAGCTTGTGCAGGTGACTATCCTAGTTCTGTTTCTACTTTCTATTGTTAATTCCGTACCTTCTTTTGAGTACTGCATTTCAAATGATAGAGTTTACTGTGACTATACATCCAATGGAAATGAAATACCGCTGTTAGTGATAAATTATTCTGTTGCCTATACATGACCGCTGAAACCTTCAAGGCATGTGAAATGATGTCCAGCTATTTGACTGCACATTTTAGTGTTGAATCCCAACTTTTAGTGATACATTGTTTGTGGACATGTTGTTCCGACAACCTGGTTCAGCTTTTTTTGGCTTTGGAGAAAAATAATCATTTCTGCATGAAATATGGTAAGACAATGCTTTTATTGCTCAAAACTAATGCCATTTGTGCAATTGATTTCCTAAGCTTTATACTGTTAGTGTCTGGAGTTGTTTGCTCGTAGCATTTGCAGTAAGTTTCTGGTTTTATTGGTCATCCTTCATCTGGTTTAGGTAATTCTACATATTCTGAATTACACAAAAAAAATCAAGCGAAAAAAACACTGCTTATGCCTTTATCTCCAGGATGAGGTAGGAGAAAAATGTTCATGCAAAAGAGTCTGAATACAATTGTGGATATCTTTAGCATTCAAGTATTTTGAAGACAAAATTAAGGCTCTTATTATAAATACAGAACAAAGTACATTACTTGGACTGAAGCTATTACAATATTGACATCATATATAGAGAAAAGGGATGCATGCAACAATTGTGCTTTGAAGATAATTCAATGTTTTATTGTAGATTTTATAGAAAATTTGAAAGGGCATTGTCCTTTGAGCCTGTTGATGCACTTGAATCTGTGTTCTGGCTCTTTATTTTCTCTTCAATTAGAATAAAATGTTTGCCTGCCTCTACCTATTGTCCTTTAACCATTCTTTCCTTCAATAGAATTATGATGCATTGTCATTGCACTACATGTATTAATGGTATATTGTATCTGGTGGTATTTGCAGATGATGCAAGGTAATATCTGGATATCCTCAAACTCTCTGGGCTTTGCGCATAGTATGACACTTCTTCTCAGGTTTCAAATCCAATCATATATCCAAAAAACCATACCTACAATCAGAAACACCTCTGAGCAACCAAATTCCAACTCCAGGTTCAGAGGTCTTCGAGTTTTACTAGCTGATGATGACGATATGAACAGGACTGTGACCAAGAAGATGCTACAGAAGCTGGGTTGTGAAGTGACTGCTGTTTCTTCTGGATTTGAATGTCTTAGTGCAGTTAGCCATGCTGAAAATTCTTTCAGAATTGTTGTTTTGGATCTTTACATGCGAGATATGGATGGATTTGAAGTGGCAACTAGGATCCGCAAGTTTCGTAGCCGTAATTGGCCATTGATTATAGCCTTGACAGCTAGTGCTGAGGATCATATGTGGGAGAGATGCCGACAAATGGGAATGAATGCAGTTATTCAGAAACCTGTTGTATTGCAAGGGATGGCAGATGAGCTTCAAAGAGTTCTGCAACGGGCGGGGGAAGGAATTTGATGAGCTGCTCATACTGATTCTTGGCCCGCAGGTACGATGAGATAGTTGGCAAGGTTATCTGGCATTGATTACTTATTTCATTCCCTCAGGCGATTCCAATCAGGTCACTGTCAAAATCAGTCACAGTACAAAGATTTTTAACGTAGCATTTGCATTCTGTCATTCCATGGTATACCAAAATGTAACTATTAATTTTTGCTAACCATTTTGCTCATTGAACTTTATTGCCTGAAAACTTTCATGGAATGACTTGAGGTAAAATTACTTCTACACTTATTTAATACCAAAATCAAATTTAGTGTGATATTTATGACATCGAAAATGTAAGGAGTAATGTTATGCCATCTATTTCTTTTTGTTTCTATCTGATACATTAATGCAACTCAACATTTGATATTCAGTGGCCATTGTTGCTATCTATATTTTCTCCCATTACTGTGCAATCTAAGCTGCTTTCAAGCCTGGAGTTCATATGTTTACCCTGTTGCATACTGCATAGACAGCTAAAATTGGCATTTATGCCTCATGTCCTCAATATTTACAAGATGCATGGTTCAGTTTTAGCACATCTTGTCAATGTCAAGAACTTTTACAACTTAGCTGTCAAGCTGAAGCATCAATTTTGGAGCACAAATTCTTGGGACAGGATGCTGAAAGCTACCATTGATTGAACCCATCAACCATAGATTGCACAAATTCTTTCACTAATGCTACATACTCTCCACAACTTTGTTCACACAGGAAGTACAATCAATCCATCAACGGTTTACCCCAAAGGAACTCTAAATTAATATAAAGACTATGGGATGAGACTTGACAGTATCCAAGAATACTTTTAGCATTATTCTAACGACAATACCATTAGATTTGGTAATTTATGCATACATGTTTGTTTATTTTACGTCAATTATATATAAATAAAAAAATTATTATGACATAATTCGATTCAACATTTTAAATATAAATTTTTTTTGTTTTTGTTAATTTATATATGATTTTTATTAAAATTTTAAATCGTATAATTTTTATATATATTTTTTGTATCTTATTATCATGTCATATTTAAAATTTTTAGATTGTTTTTAAATTACAAAAATCTACCAAATGTTAGAAAAAAAAGTTCATGTATATATAATATTCAAAAAATGGAGAAAAGTTAAAATTTTGGGTCCAAAGTTGGGCTGTTCTTAAACATTTAATTTGAGCCCATGATTCCAACATTTTTGGTTGTATAAAAACTCGAAAAAGATTCTAAACATTGATTGAACCGACCAGACGCTTTCAAAAACCAAAAAATGAGTGTATCGAAAGCAGAAGCTTCAGAGTACCACTCCAAAGACTTCAACTGGGAGACTCTCAGACAAGAAATAGAAAACGACCCTTCTCTTAACTACCATCTTCTCCCTTTTAATTCCCCACAACCAGAAGAACAACATTCAAATGATTCAATAAAAGCATGGCAAAACTTTCATGTCCAACACTCTTCTGGCAAGTTCTTCAAGGTTTGTCTATAACATTAAAAATTCCAATCTTTTCTTCCTTTATTTTCTGGGTATTTGTCTGTTTGCGGTTTTGTGATGCGTAAGATTAAATGGGTGTTCTTTGGATGCAGGAAAGGAGGTACTTGTTGAAAGAATTTCCAGAGTTGGTTTCTTGTGCAGATGGTTCTAAGGTTTTGGAGGTGGGGTGTGGAAATGGCAGTACTGCCCTTCCTATATTGCGGTAGCCTCAAAATTACCTTCGTTTTTAATGTTTTTATGTTGTTATATTTGGTCTTTTGGTCCTTGCACATTGAATAAAATTTTTAGTTGTACTATATTCTGAAATAGTTTAGTGGAAAGCTGATTTTTTTTGTTCTGATGATGAGATTACAACAGCGTTGGTTTCTTTAGTTACCAAAGAAAGGTTAACGGTACACCTGGCAATTTGAAACATAAAAAGCTGATATGATACGAAAGAAGATAAGAAAGGGACACAATTTAAAATTTTAACAAAAATCCTATATGGGATTGGCAAAAACCAAAATATGTGTTTCCTGTTTGGCTTGAAGACATGAATTGTGACATGATAATTTTCGTGTTTTATACGTGTTTGACATGAAATAGACTGACATTGATGCACAAATTATTAGGTCTAGTTAATGGTTTACTAATATTGTTGAAAGAATGGATTTTCAAGTTTTGTGAAGTTAATTGAAATGGGTATACTCACAATTCACTAAGGATGAATATCGGTTAATTTTAGTTTGTTGTTTCTTAAATTGTGCCTAATCTAAAATATTGATCACTTTGGTTTGGTTCTGTAACCCAGTGAGAGGTGAACTGTATGCTGCAAAAAATTATTTCATTATTCAGGATAAGTCCATGAGAAAACTTTAGAGGATATTTTGGAAAGTTGAGATAGTTTTCCTTGAATTTTCGTTGTGAAGATCAATTTTGCAGTATTGAGAAATTAGAGCTAGATGCTAATATTGAATAATGGAATTATCTTTTTTCCTCTCCTTATGCCTTCAATATATTTTTTCAGTGGCAATGAGAAAATTATTCTATATGCATGTGATTGTAGCAATGAGACCCTAGAGAGAGCTAAAGAGTTTATAGCTGCTAGTAATGTAGCTTCAGTTGAGCATCGTTTGCACCCATTCTATTGTGACTTTGCAACAACTGGATTTCCAAAGTTTTTGGCTTGTGATTATTGCAGAGAAATGTTTTCATGCAAGGATCAAAATTGCCTTTCAGGTAGCTATCTTTCCTGTTTTATACACGTTACTTCTTCCAAGTATTGGCTTTACTTATATTACGGACTTAAAATCTCAGTTTTTTTCTTCTTCCAGATGTTGGAGAAAAAAGAACCCATGAAACTGATTCATTGTCAATGGAAGAAAGAAGTTGTTGTGTTGGCGGTGTGGACTTTGTTACCTTGGTATGCATCTTTTTTTTCATCAATGTCTTAATGCAGTCAATGCTAATAGAAATCTTAATAATAGAAATCTTAATTTTCTTGGAAATAAAGAAAATAATTTACTAAATATTCCATGCTTCAAAATTATCATTTTGATTAGATACAACATCCTATGGTTAGTAGTTAAAAAAAAAAACCGAAAATGCTATGCTGGAAAGATAAAAGATAAACTCCAAAAGAGAAGTTAAGGAAAAAAGATTCATAAAAAGAAACTAGCCTGAAAACGGGGCATGCCATAGTTGAGAAGAATGTGTGGTTGAATATTTTTTTCTAATCTTCATTTTTCCTTTAATTAAGTGTATGCTTTTTTGCATATATTTCTGGGACTTCACCCCTTGTTGTTTAAATTGGTGCTAGAATGACTAGAACTGGCGCACAATGGAGTCATGGTTAGTCTGCAAATTTGATACATGGCTTAGGCAATGATGGTTGAATGCCACTTATATTGTAGAGTTCTTCTAGCATATCTAATATCTTTTACTTGCATAAATTTGCTGATTTCTTTTTCTGTACAACTCCTTTATGCTGCAATATGTTCCCCCTTTAAAAAATCAATATTCTGAGCTTATTATACTATTTGAAAAATAGATATAAAATATTATGACATGGATTTTTATATGTTTCCTTTCTAACATAATGTGTCAGATATTCACACTATCAGCAGTACCACTCCAAACAATGCCAACAGCCATCAGAGAGTGCTTTTCTGTCTTAAAACCTGGAGGCTTGCTCTTGTTTAGGGACTACGGTATTAGATCAACAAATAACCATGCTATTACTTTCAGTTCTTGTAAAATGTTTGACTAAAGCATATTTTCTCATCTCTTGTACTTTCTAGCCAAATTTAGTGCTTTTAGAATATAATAAAATAAAAAGGTTGTTTCCAGAATCAGTTTACAAAAGGTTCGGTTTGATGGAATCCAGGTCTCTATGATATGACGATGCTGCGGTTTGAATCGGACCAAAGAGTTGGATTCAGGGAATACATGCGTTCAGATGGCACCCGTTCTTATTTTTTCTGTCTAGATACTGCTAGAAATCTCTTCATTTCTGCTGGCTTCATTGAGGTAGTATTCTAGCTATTGGGTAAATTTCAAGTTTGTTATTATTGTAACTTGGGTCGTGCATAAAATGATATGCTTCATTGCCCTTGGTTTGATTTTTGCTGCATAGTTCTGGTCTGGAATGGTTTCTAGCTCATATGCGTGCAGTTTTTCTCTGACTCTTTATAACCAAAGAGAGAGTTGAACATCTTGCTTGAGTATATTAGGGTGCAAAACTTATAAATTTATAATTAAGTGGTCGTATTTGAAGATAGAAACCCTAAGGAAGTTTCTGTTTCTTTTTTTTATGGCTGCTAGTGATGTTGCATGTTAACTTATTTATGCACTTGCAGCTTGAGATCGAATATTGTTGTGTAAAGTCAGTGAATCGCCGAAATGGGGAAAGCATGCGAAGAGTATGGGTACACGGTAAATTCCAGAAGCCCTAATGAATCTACCCATCAGCAGCTATTGTTGAGGTACTGTTTGAAGAGGCACAAAGATTTTTTCTTTTCTTTTCTTCTATTTTTTTGTGAATGACTAGATGTGCATGTTATTTCTCTCCATATAGCTTACAGTGGCAAGTTTATCTATTATCAGAATACCAACAGACTAACTTTCCTATACAAATTTTCAGTTCCTTTTGATTCTTGGAACATGCTGAAGGAAATTGCTGATAGACGTTGCTTGTCCCTGTGTGTGCTTGTTTTGGTTTCCAATTTCTTGTAGAGGACATGTGCAGTGGATGATATATTCAATCAGATTGCATGGAAAACATAAGATGAAGTTATTGGAACCTTCGGAGTATCATATAACTATTGTTTCATACGGTTAATTCGTTATGTTAATATAACAAGTTCTTAGGCAAGCCAAATCCAATTTTAGGGCCTTGGGCACTTTTGTTAATTGAGTTTTATATCAGGGCCTTGGACATTGGCCTTTCTAGAGTTTATGCGTCACCATGCATATATGTAGCATACTGCATAGACACATGCTATCATCATCTTTAACTATACATGCAGATGCATGCATATGTGAATGTTGAATTGAATTTGGCTCATTTCTCAATCATCATAGATTAAAATTGCTGGTGTTTTTAATCCAGAAAACAAAATGAAAATGAAGAAAATATTAAATGCTTCCAACCGACAAAACTATATTGTGCCCCTTTCCAAGTGGTTGTCTACTCATATTAAAGACTTAAATTCAATTGCTATCATTTCAAGACTCTAGATGCATGCACGTATATATAAGAATGTGACAAGTTGACCTTAGTTTCACACATAAAACAAGAACAGAAAAAGAATTTATATATTTTGAAATTATATAGTGAAATATTTAATATAATATTAGAGTTTTAAAAATATTTAATATAATATTCGAATTAAAAATTTTTTAATTAATGTAGTACTTATAAAATTATTTATTTATCACATATCATTTAAAATTCATCTCATTAGAATGATTACGCACAACATTAGTAAATAATTAAGATATTACATTAAAAAATTTTTAAATTTAAATTTCATATTAAATATTTTATTATAATTTAAGAATTATTAATAATGTTAATTTTTTTAAAAAAAAAGCTGACAAATTCTTGAGACATGCATTCATTGTTATGACCATTGATGCTTTTCCTTGTGTTTGTTCAAACTTGTAAGAGAAACGCATGAAGTTGTGTGCTTAACTTTTTCTCATAATTGGACTATTGATGTTTTTCTTTGTGTTTGTTCAAACTTGTAAGAGAAACAAATGAAGTACATGAATTTCTGCAATCAAATAATGTTTGAAAATGTAGATGACATTCATTATTATGTTGTGTGCTTAACATTTTCTCAAAATTTGACCATTTATGCTTTTTCATTGTGTTTCTTCAAACTTGTAAGAGAAACGAATGAAACACACCAATGGCTACAATCAAATTATGTTTTAAAAATCTAGATGACAATGCAATGAGTCCATGAAGCATTGGATAGCGTTCAGGCAAACCCTAAAATCCTAGTGGAATTTTAGGGGTTTTAGTAACTAAGATTTTTGTGGTAATTTGAAACACGACACAAATATGATATGAAAATAAGATAAAAAAATAATACAATTTAAAATTTTAATAATAATTATATTAGATTTAACAAAATAAAAAATATATATTTTATATTATTGTGTTGACATGAATTGTAATACGTAATTTTTATATAATGCATAATACAAATATATAAATTTTAATATTTTATATAATACGAATACATGAATCATTGGCTTATGTCATACTACATGTAGTAGGGAAATTCTTAGTCAATGTCCTTATTGTCAACTAGTTCCGGTTGTATTTTTACCTTTTTTGTGGAGCCCCTTTCCTTGAAATTGGCATCAGCAGCCCATCTTTTTTTCTCTGCTACATTTGTCCATTTATGCATGGTATTATAGATGTTAAGATTTGAATATTAAATTTATTCGATATTATTTTTTAAAGATAATTATACGAATCAATTAAATTAAATTTTAAATTAAAAACCAAAAGAACTCGATAAAACAAGAAAAGGAAAAAGGAATAATACACATAGGCTAATTGCAAAAACTTTGTGCTTTAGCTTAAAAGTACAAAATGACATGGAATTTACATAGATGAACCAAAAGTGTGAAGAAAGATTGAAATGTCAATTGAAATGCATGGTAAGGATAATATCTTAATCACTTAATTAGTTTCAATCTAACTTTATGATCTCTGAAATATTTAATTTCAGACAAGAAAGAAGGTCATGACTTTAGTATTTTCTTTATTTACATCTAAGCAAAGTGGAGTAATTCTTATTCAAGTTCTTTGTTCAACAACTAGCATGAAATAGAGGTTGTGACGAACAGGATTGTTTAATTCGTCTGCACAATGAAATAAACAAGAAATTTTGTAGCTAATGGCAGGGTTTTGTCAATTTGACCCTTTCTTTTTAGTAGAGGGAAAGAGGGGTCGAGTTTCATATTAAGGAGGTCGAAATAGTAAATTGTTTTCAAAATTTGTCGAGGGACCATGACTCCTGCCTGCTCCTTAGATTCGTCCCTGATTTCATCACAAATAGTTCATTAGAAATACAATTGGAAAATGCCATCAATGGGAGGAATGTGGTGTTCTTTGATTGGAAACTCAAAATAATTTGAGATTATCTAACCCGATCAAGATGTGCAACCTTTTGAATGTTTGGTCAAATGGCACCTTACTCGCTATGGACAACGAGCACCCCACGGCAGGTACTTGAGGCAAATAAAAAAACACAGCATTTTAGACTTGGAAAGCTAGCATGCTCTCAAATTGTAATTGCTGAATCATGATTCTCCATTATCCATATTAAATAAATTTATCCTATGCTTTTCATTATACAGGTTAGGCTCTATTTGGGTGGTCCACATTTCTTTAATAACAATTTCCCTTATTCCCTCTTCAAAGCCTTATTCCCTCTTCAAAGTATTATAGTTGATTAACTTGTTCAACTCTTACAATATGTATGATTATAACAAAAGAGAATAGGAGAAAAAAACTTTTTTTTTTTGTTTGGTTCGTAGGAAAATAATAAGAAGAGAAAAAAAAAAGAGCGGATTATTTATTTTTCTTCCCTCAAATTCATTCCTTTCAAATATGATAGGAACGTAGGCATTCAACTTAAAATTAATTAATAATTTTAATTATGATTTTACTTTAATCATCTTTTTTTCCCTCTATTTTCCATCTTTTGTACCAAATATAATAAAAAATAACTGTTCTTTTTGCCTATTTCCCTTTTTCTTCCTATCAAACATAGTGTCGAGTAGGTAAAACTACACTAAGAAAGACAAGTACTAGTGCGGGAAATGGAGAAGCTATTTGTTGTTTGGCTGCGGTTGAAAGTTATTTTAATAAAGAAGATTTTAATTATTAAATCTGAGTTGGGCTCCAACACCACCACTGCTTTACCATTGGAATGTGGAATGGAAGTAACTAGGCAAAAATACTAAGGTTTTCATCAACAATGTCATCATGTGAGTCCATGTGAAGAGGGTCCTTGATGTTTGCTAAAACTCTAGAATCTTGCTTTAAGTGATAAGAAAGCAGCCTTTTTCAGGGTACTTATCTTTAGCCATGTGTTAATCATCTTGCTTTAATTGAACAAATTGTATTAGAATGGTGACTGTGCAATTACTTGTACCGTCTTCCAAGTTAATTAAATTAATTAGCCAAAGTTTAAGATTATAAACCCAGAGCATAACTTACTGTTTCATGCAACCACTTTTAAGAAGTAATATCAGTAGATCCAAATGTTCAAATCCCAACACCTTCAGTCCCTTCCTTTTTCCTCGTACCGTCACCTCGTGTATAAAAAAAAGTTTTAAGATTCTTGATATGTAGCTATATAGAGCACAAATTCAAGAACCTGACTGCAAGAAGCCAGATTCGAATGTCATTTTGCATCGTCCCATCGTTCTTACTTTTGACATCACCTTGAGATGATAGAATTGCACTACCAAAGTTTATTGCTTGTCAAAAGAAAAGCTGTAATTTTTCTCCTAGCTGCTCTAAGAAAGCTGTAATTTCATGGTTTAATCTCTCTGCAGCATGCCGGCAAAGTCAGAAATATACTTCAATGAGCAATTGGAACTCAGAAATATACCTCAATGATAATTTTTGTCTAAAATTTTAATGCTCATTGCACCACCACGTTTTTATATTTTTTGAAGAATTGGTGTTTCATTTTCTGTCATTTATGCTCCTTTTGCAGACTGAAATTGAACAAAAGCAATCAATCATTAAATAGTAATTTTTACCCCAAGTTTTCCAACTATTTCATTGCTGTATTGAGAATGTTTCTAAAGATAAATGACAAAGAAGCAGGCCTTGAATCGCATTGTTTCTAAAGAGCCCAAAATTCGAGGATGATGCAAAAAATTAGTTGTTACCCTTCACCAGAGCCACAGTGACTGCAAATGAGATATGCATCCCTTAATAATATTTTTGTTTCTATTTCATTTCAGTCTCTCTCTTGCAGTTCTCCCTCTAATGTTTGCCTTCTCTCTTTTTAAAAATTTGCATATATAGCTCATGCCATGAAGGCATGTCCCACTTTCCAACTGAAAGCACCTCTTTTCATTGCATTTCACACAGAAACACACATATACATATTGATGAGCTTTGAAGTGGTGGCATGGAAATGGAGGAAAAGAAGCAGAGAAAAGAGAAGAAGGAGAGGGTTTTCTTAATTAATTATTCTTTTCTAACACTATTATCTCTAAGGATGAGTCAAGGAAACCATGAAAAAATAGCTAATGACCTTTCCAATTTAATTTCTAGCAAAATTATGTTGATGAAATGCAGTATGTGATTAAATGTAAGAAGATAAAGATCATGAAAGCTAGTGAAACTGCAGTGAAATTGAGATAAAGAAAATATATAGACAATCTGTTGGCGATTGCCAGAAAGCAGAAGTTGAAGAAGAATCGGCTACAAATTAAGCCATTTTAATTTTTGTCACAATTAATCGTATGATGAAAGTTTCTTAGTAAATTGAAGAAAAAATTACCACTAATACTCTACTGAGTTACCTTGGGGTGGTTTTCTTTTCCCTATGTTTGAATTTATCAAAGGCTAAACATAAGCTATCAATCAAAGATATGTAGAATTTTATGTTCTCTAGAATATAGCAAATTTCAAATATTATAGATCTTAGAGTTTAACTCAATTGATTTATCTAATCATCTTCAATCAAGTAATATCCCCAACAAGTTTAAAAATTAAATTTCAACGCTTACAAACCTTCACTTATCCCCAAATTATTGCATCTTTTGTAAAAAATATTTGGATATTCTAATACAAAACTAAAATTGTTTCTCAATGATCAAAGAACTAAAAACGCTGTTGAATCTTATTTTAACCCCCTCAACTCGAACATATACCATCATCAGCTATAAAAATTGGGATTAAAAAAAACAAAGAGAAAGGCAGTGTAAGAAACTAACATTTTATTCTGCAAGTGAAAGCATATATGGTTTGTTGTAAAATTTACAAAATATATTGGCCTAATTTCATTTTTAATATATATCTCTTTCATCATCAGAATAACTGAATTAGTAGAAATTAAATACCTGATGAATTATCCCTTTCCTCTCACAAGTATTTTCTATTTCACTTTCTCTTCTCTTTAGTGTTTACTGATACGATGGCCTTCCACCATGTGCCCAAGCATAAGCCTCATGGTTCAACTGCCCACCATTATGAACCAAATTTGGTGGCAAATTGTTATAAACTGGCAATCCTGGACCATCACCACCACCTATCCCACCTGGCTGATGCCCTCCACTGCCACTGCCGATCCCTGGTGGTGACCCGCCACTCCCACCACCAAGCTGCCCTTGAGCCCCAACACCTCCCTCTTCTTCCTCCTCCAAGGGCAACCTCTCATAAGTAGCATTAGAAAAAGTTGCTGCTATTATCATAACAGGCCCTGATGCCACCAGTGACCCTACTACAGTACCTCCAACCACCTGGCCTTGACCACCAGCTAGGTATATTGTTAACCCGGTTGACCCTGGAGGAGCAGGTCCAGGCAAAAAAGCACCAGTTAAAGACAAAATCTCAAACCTACCATGAAGAGCCATGACTGCACCAGGAGCAGAAGGTTGCCTAAGTGTCACGTTTGTGACCGTTCCATTTCCACTAAGAACACAAACCCCTCTTTGCCTTCTTCTAGCAAACTGAGATAGGGTTTCAGCTACATCAGAACCATTAGCTATTTCCATAACGTGACTTCTTAGTGCATTAGGGCTATCTCTAGTGACGAAAATAGGAGGTTTGGGCTTGTTTTTGGAACCTGGTGGACGACCTCTTGGACGACGAGTGGAGACTTCTATAGCTCCTTCTCTAGGCTCATCGCTATGCTCTTTTTCATCTTCTTCTTCTCCAGTTGCTCCACTTCCTGTTTCTCCATTGTTTGTCATGGATATACCCAGATCTGGTTTCTTCATTGGAGATGATGAAGTAGCTGATGTTTCCATTCCTTGTAATCCCACTTGCGCTGCCCACCATCGATTAGCCATGGTCTTTGAAGTTCTTGAACTAACAAACAGAAGATTACAAAGCAATAGAAAACTGGGTTTGGATCTTGGTTTAGCTAATGATCTTGATTAAGGATGATTCAAAGGTGGAACAACAAGGGAGAGATAGAAGAAGCAAAAAAAATTTTCGATTCCAGAAAAGTTAGCTGAGAGTGAAAGACAGAGAAGCTAGTGGAAAGAAGTGAAACTGAAACTGATCAAAGCTAAAGAATTGAAAAGGGCAAAGGGCAAGAGAGTTCCAACATATGAACCAAAAAAAAAAGAAAAAAGAAAACGAGTTTGGAGATAGAGATTGACTACAAGATGAAATTTCTTTTCTATTTCCAAGAGTTTATTGGATTTTTTCTTTTTTTTTTTTCTTGGTTTTAAGGTGTGTGAGTGTGTCAGGGTCTTAGGGAGCTGTGGATGCTTTGTATTTTCTTTACAACAACTCTCACTTTGTTTCTTTGGAAAATTCATGAGAAGAAATTCAACGGTGGAAGTGCGTGGAAATTTAGGGTTTGCTGTTTTTACTGTTGGAGAGTGGGGTCATACATGTGCGCGTGGGAAAGTGCGGTGCACGTCTCTAATAATAATAATAATAATAATAATAATAATAATAATAATAAAAAAATATTAATAATTTAATTTTGATTTATATATATAAATAAATTTGATAATTTTTTTATATAATTTTAATTTTAGTGTAATATAAGCAAAATTTTATAACTTTTGATACAACTTTTATTTTGATAATTTTTTATAAAATTTTGATAACTTTCGAGATAATTTTAGTAAAAATTGATAAAATTTTAATAACCTTTTAATATAATTTTCATAATTAATCTTATGATAATTTATTATATATTTTTAGTAATTATTGATAAATTTTGAGTTTTTATTTATTTAACAATGGATTCTCGTAAGAAAGCATATATTTTTATAAGATAAAATTTTTATATAATAACACTGTTATTTCATTCAAATTTAGAACTTTTTTCATTAAATTTTTTTATTGAATAGGTTTGTGATAGGTTTATCTTAGTCTCAATTCTTAATAACTTTAACCATAAAAAAATTTATAAATGATTGATAATTAAATTATCATTAATTTATTATTATGTTATTGATTTACAACTAAGTTATCAATGATATATTACTAAATTATAAATGATTTATTACTAAATTAGCTTTGATTTATTGTTAAGTTATTGATAATTTATTACAGAGTTATAATTAATTTATTATTAATTTATCGATAATTTACTACAAAGTTATCAATGATTAACTAATTTATTACTAAATTATCATTGATTTATAACTAAGTCATTAGTGATTTACTACTAAGTTATCAATAATTTATAAAGAAATTATAAATGATTTACTATTATATTATTATGCATTTACTATTATGTGATAATTAATTTACTACTTAATTTTTTATTATTTACTACAAAATCATCACAAATTTACTACTAAATGAACCATAATTCCTTATAAGTTATTACTAATTTATACAAAATTATACAAAATTTACTATTAAGTTATTTAACTATTAAATTATTGATGATTAAGTACTACTAAGTTATTGATTTCCTTTCAAGTTTTCAATAATTAACTATTAAATTATTATTGATTTATTGTTAAGTTATCACTAATTTACTATTAAATTATCATTAATTTATTATTAAGTTATTAATGATTCATAACTAATTTATCACTTGTTTTTTATTAATCTATCATTGATTTACTATATGTTGTTATGTATTTAAAACTATGAAACATAAAATTTAAAAAGTCCACTAATAATATATGAGATAATTTTCCTTTTATATTATAACATTATTACTTTATTTAAATTTAGAATTTTTTTCACTAATAGAGGTGAGCAATTGGTTGGTTCAATTTGAAAAAATTGGTTACCAACTTAACCGATCCTTATTTTCTAAATAACCAAAATCAATTGAAAAATTTCAAATAACTGATCATAATCGAACCGACTTAAGTTAGTTTGTTTCGGTTGACTTGGTCAGTTTAGTCAAATATTCCTTAATAATATAGAGAAAAGACAAAGTAAATAAAAACTTAAACAATCCAACATCATCATTCCAAAACCCTCTAAAAAACAAATCTTTCTGGCAATTAATCATCTCTTTATGTTTTCAGAATCACAATCACCAAATTTAACTATACAAATCCTTAAAAATTAGCTTTTTTTGTTAATTATAGACACAAACAAAAAAGAATCAAGTAAATCCAAGACCACTAACAATGAAGAACAACAAAAAAAGGATAGGTTAGAAGACAAGCAAAAGAAAGCTCACAGTGGCTGAATGATGGGTGAAGGTGGCTGGGTTAGTACTCATGATGGTGACTTTCAGTGATGCTACACTAGATTCAACTAGTGATAAGCAAGAAAGTTTTATCCTCGACCTTTTTAATCTCTTGCAAATCGACCTACAATGGAATCTTGATTTGAGGTCATGTTTTTGTTTTGGGGCAGCTTAAGGGAATTCGCAGCAAAGTAGCAGATTAGTAGTAGAAAAAGAAAAACAAATAAATGAGACTGAGAGAGGCAAAACTTAGAAGAAGAAATGGGAGAGGCAAACCAATTTTTGTTTTAAGGGTATGGGTCTGAAGGGATTAGGAAAAGACTTAGGTTTTTTTAAATGGGAATATAGACACCTTATTTTGTTCGGGATGATATCGATATTATTGGGATTTTAGTTTTAATTTGATAATGCAATTGATTTTAAGTCTAACTAAAAGGGCCCAAAATAGTTTTATTTATTTTTTGAAAAATTGAGATTAAATGTGGATTTTTTCTTATATTGCAATCTTGTCTTCAAGATTTAAGAATTAATATAGAGGTTGGATTTAGCAATATTTGGGCATTAATTTAATGTAAAAAGGAAAATAAAATTTGGAAGATCACATAATCAAAACTTTCTAGATTTGGTTAACATTGATGTTTTCCAAATTGAGTTGATCTTTATCTCTATAAATTCAATTCATTAGCAGCTCAATAGGATCAATAGAGGCGGTGAGCAATTTAGCACAATAATTTCACCTCAAACACTGATCAACGAATTAAAAATTAATGAAAAGACACTATAAGAAAATGAATGATTAGTGACGTGATATTTCACTTAAAAACGTCATTAGCTTTTGTGTTTTTATAAAACTTAAGGTGTTTTTTATCAAAACGTCATTAAATATTTAAATAACGATATTTGTACTTATAAATGCTACTAAAGACAAAAATTAATGGCGTTTATCGACTAAAACACCTTAAATAATCATTTCTAAAAATTGAACTGATTATTAAAAGTATTTTTGGCAGAAAATGCCTTGAATAATCCCCTAATAAAAAATAGATAATGGATTATTGAATGTATTTTTGACAGACAATGCCTTGAAATCAAACTTACGACTTTATGGTTAACAACCGTATACTCTAACCGACTGAGCTACTTCAGTTTTAAAATTGAACGATATTATTTAAGAGGTGATTATTGAATGTGTTTCAGGCCAAAATGCCTTTAATAATCTCCTTCAATTGTTTTGAGGGATTATTGAAGGCATTTTTTACAAGAAATACCTTGAATAACCCCATTCAATTTTTTGTAAGAGATTATTCAAGGTATTTTCTGGCAAAAAACACATTGAATAATCCCTCTGAAATAATAGGAGAAGATTATTAAAAGCATTTTTTGTCAGAAACGCCTTGAATAACCCTATTCAATTTTTTCTTAGTAATTATTCAAGTAATTTTTTGGTAAAAAATAACTTCAATAATCCCCCCAAAACAATGGAAGAGGATTATTGAAGGAGTTTTTGGCTAAAAATACATTGAATAATACCATTCAATTTTTTGTAAGGGATTATTCAAGATGTTTTCTGGTAAAAAACTCTTTAAATAATCCCTCCGAAACACTAGAAGAGGATTATTGATGGTATTTTTTTGTCAAAAATGCTTTGAATAATCCTATTCAATTTTTTGTAAGGGATTATTCAATGTATTTTTTGGACAAAAACGCCTTAAATAATCCCCTCAAAACAATGGCGGGGGAAGTCAGTTGTAGGTTTATGCCTAGAAAATATTTGGTTTATATATGTGATACTACGAATTACATTTTAAAATTTACATTACGAACATTGTAATATTTTAATGAATTAACCACACATCCAAATTTAAAACTGATAACGTTGCCATATAAATATATTTTTTTCAAATAATCATACTCAATATATATGTATTCATATAAGCTGTCAATTGATATAAAACAAATATATACCAATACTATTAAACCAATATCCCAATCTAGAAACTTAAATTATCCATTCAACATGGCATGTTAAAAATATTATAACAAATGAAATGCATATATTTACACCCAACCAACAATCTTCAACCTCAATGTTTAGCAAACGATAATACATACTCACACCACTCTTTACAGACTTCATCAAGTTCATCTATCGTGAAGCTTCCTTTACTTTCCCACTAAAAAAAAAATCAGAAGTAAATGTTAATAAATGAGAATATAATTTAGTTTTTTTTTTAAAGATATAATGATTTTATGAAATTAATACTAACTTTGAATGGTGTGGTCATAAAATCATATAATACTATCTCCCTCAAAAAGCGAAAGACATAATATCCACATTTAGTATATATTGATTGATGAGATACCTGAAAAATAAATTTAATGGGTTTAGAAAATATTATCTAAACAAACTCAGCATAAAAGAATAAATTTCACATTTATTGATAATGACACTTAATTTATCTTTGCTTTCTTATCAACTGCAGACATTACCCTAAATTGAAAAGAAAAAAATTACTTAATACAAAAATAAAAATAATTATGAAGAAACAGAAGATAATATAATAACATGTAATACTCTTTTATAAAATTTTTATATGAATATTTGTATGAATATAATAAAACAGAATAGTTGGGTAAGGTTGAAATAATTATTTATATGAATATAACTTACGTAGCATTATATGGGAGTAAATAATAATCATGCCATTTTTTCATGTATTGAATCACATAACGAGCACGAAAAATGACTGTACCACTTTACTCACTAATGATATTCGGGTCAACGAATCTGAATCTATGGGTCATTTGTCTCGTCTTGATCTTTCTATATAAGAAGCTACATGATAACAATCAATAATACTAGTTAGTAATACAACGTAATATAGATTAATACGTATTGACTTTGTATATTTAAATTTATAAGCTACCCTTATATAAGCAACAATATCAATAACTGATATTTTATCCAGTTACAAAATTCTTTAACCTCATCTTGACCAATGTAAGAAATTGATGGTTGATTAAATTCTTTAACCACATCTCGACCAATGTAAGAAATTGATGGTTGATTAAATAACGCAGCATCGGACTCAACGGTAAT